AAAGCGATTAATCAAATTCATAATACTGTCTAAGATGATAATCGTAATTATATACCAAGCGGAGAAAAAGCCTTCAAATTCACCTCCCTCAACTTGCGCGTACATAATTCACGTTGATAGTTATTCATTCCATCGTTATCTCATACGATCACGGTATTGTCAATTGAGTCTTTATAAATATCGAATACACAATGAACTGATTAATTTTAAACATTAAAAACGTGTGTACATTCATGCCATTTGATATCAACGTTTTGCGTTTCATATAATTATGGAATATATATCGCCATAAAATCAGTTTAGGCCCAAACAACATGCAATTCATATTACGCCAATTATTTTACGCATTTTCATCCCATTTTTCATTAATTAAATCAACACGCGACATGTAAATGTGACTGCATAATGATACAATTTCAGTTTGATTTAAACTCATCGGCGAGGGATATTTCTCTTTACTGTTTTTATTACATTTTTTCATTGCTAAGAATTTCTGAATGGAATTTCCAATGGGCGTTGCTCAGAATTATGGTGAAATTGTCAGGTTTAAGGCCCGGGTGACAGCAACATAATAACAGATAACTATCTTTCGAATGTTATCTGGATTATTTTAATCTTTCGTAATCCAAAATTGTCAATTGAGTGGTACATCATGTAGAAATTCCCAAAAATTATGATAGAATGATAAAAAAAAAAATAGAAAAAATTCTGAACTTTTTCAAGAGCGTTTTTAATTGCGATTCAGAATGAGTTGAAAAAAGTGGAAATTACAAATATCTGACTCGCTGTGGCACATTATCTATTAGCTGTCATTTTCCGTGGTGGATAACAAAACACTAACTTCTCATGGGAAGTGACAGCTAGGTATCTCAATTTTCAAAACAGTGGTATGTAGCCATCTGCCATTTTTATATAATAAAAGTGTGATTAAAAAATTCTCCAAAATATTACAACTTTTTTCAAAGAGCCTTTTCCGTAATAAACGCCTCTGTGCAGTGTGCGAAAAGATTTACGAAATCAGTCTTCCCCCTGCATGATATTGGGTGACAGGCCGCCATTTGTCACCGTAAATCAGATACATTTTTCAATTTCTTGTTATTCAGCTTATTCTAAATATAAATTAAAAATGCTCTTTGAAAAAATTAAGAATTTCTTCTACTTTTTTTTGATTATTCATTCATAATTTTTCAAAACTTCTGCATGATGTAGGACTTAATTGACAATTTCAGATGACGAAAGATGAAAAAAGAACATCGAGATAACGTTCGAAAGATAGTTCTCCCGGGCCTTAAAAGAAAAAAAACAATAACAAACATAGGAGGCAATTCACTCGTCCAAATCATCGGATATTCATGCCAAAGTCTTCAGAAAACAGGTGTTTATCCAATGACTCATGGTATTGCAGTAAAATTTCGTGAGTTTACTCAATCAAGTGAGGAGTGACTGCCGTTACTGCAATGACATTGAAAATTGAATGGGAAATTTTATGATTTCTCGTTTCATGACCCCTAGAAACTCTTCTGACCCTTTCTAGAGACCGATCTGTTTGTGTGGATGTGTGTAACCAAAATTTTGTACTCCGATTTCTCTCGAACAATCGATGCGATTTAATTTTTTTTCGCAATCGAAAACTGCTCAAGTCGACGTAGCACTGAGCTGAGTTTTTGCTGAATATCTCCGAATCTAAGGGAGATGGCGAAATTCCCGTAACCACCTTTTTCGTAACTCTTAATTCGCTCTACAAAAACGGTTATAACGAAAATTTTTGTATCTGCCTTGGATCCCAAGATATTCATTGAAAACTGACCGATAGTCAAGATCAAGTTAAACCGTTTTACCGCTTCGCTACAGAATTAGATTGAGAACACAATCGCCTCAGGAGTTTTATAGTTATTCACAAAAACCCGAGAAAAAAAGGCAAAAATTGACGTTTTTTCAAAAATAGGGTGGTTTTTTCGTTCGCAATGATGTGATTTTAATTTTCGAAATTGAAGCTGATAAGGTTTCATGTAAAGTACACATGATGAAATTTTTTTCAGTTTTTTTAATGAATGAAAAAAAAATTGAAATTACGTTTTTTCATAAATGAGATCAGTACTTCCTGCGAAATAATGTGATTTGATTTTTTTTATTCATAGTAAATTTTTTGAAGGAATTGGCCCAGAAGGTATTAAATTATTAGTTATTAAATTATAAATAAAACACTGACTCAAAGTATACTCTTGTCTTTCGTAATGAACAGAAAAAAGGAGCTGGTTGAGAAGTTATTGGTCCAGACCGTAATGGGATACCCGCTTTACCTACCCCGACCGGCTTTTCATTTTTCGCACTTGTCTAAAATTTTCTGGAAAATCTAGAAAAATAGAATACTTCATTTTTCGAAATTATCAGTATTCATTTTTGCTTTAAAAATTGATGCTTGAAGTCGAGAAAATGGCGTAAGAAAACAACAAATCATCGAGGGATGCAATTCAATTCTCCAAAAACTTCGCATTAATTCTGAAGTCTTCAGAGAACAGGTATTTTTTAAATGTTGCATTATTTTTGACAGCTTGAATGGTAAATTTCAGAGTTTGGTCACAAATTACCCTCACGTTTGATGAATTTTTGCAAATAAGCGGAGAAAAATTCACTACTCTTCTTCTTATTTCTCTTCTTCGATTGTTCTGGCACTGACAAAATGTCTTGCGGCCGGAAAATTCACTATTCGTCTCGCACTTTTGCCTCGATATAGGGGGAAAAAGACCTAGAAATGAATTGCGCTCCACAATTACATGACTGGCATGACTTGTTTGGTAATTTTTCTCCAACTTTTTTCTCCGCGTACTATTCCCACAATTAAATAATTTATCTAAAAATAACGAGCCTCCTAATGTATTTCAAAAATAATCAGGAAAGATCCAATATCTCCCCGTTACACTTACGAAATTTCAGATTCTTATCACCACTTCTAACGGTGCGACAATCTGTTTTTTTCCACAAGCACACATGTTATTTTGTTTTTCAGTTTTCTCATGAACAAGTTTCTCAAGGAGTTCGAAACTCCACTAATTTATTCCCAACATGAAATCTATTCATATATTTTCTTCTATTTTTATCACGATTTCTTTCCTGATAGACAAACACCCTCGACTTCATGAAATTGAATAAGAATTTCATCAGTTCTGAGCAATTTGTCATGAATATTCATTGGAAACCTGAACATTTAAGGTGTACCCCTAGAAAACAGTCTTTGGTACGATTGTCGCCATGTTTTTTATGAGTAATGTTTATAATATTCTTCGGCTGTTGAAAAAAATTCTAATTAAGTGTACTATACAGATAATAAACAAACCTCAAATTTTCAAATTTTCAAAGAGTTTCACGTATGAAAAAATCGTGTAGAATTTCTATAGGATTTTCGCATATGATATTCGGATATTTCTATACGGATATTTTTTATACAAATTATTTCTATACGATTTCTATAGGTTTGATCCTATACGACCCACTGTCACATGCATAGAAACATTCCGTAGAGAGTTGCGACATGTCTACGTTTTTCTCTGGAGCGTTTAGACATCTATCGTATGGAAACAAAAATTTATGTAAAAATTTATGTATAGAAAATATTCGTATAGAAATATCCAAATATCATATACGGAAATCCAATAGAATTTCTAGACGCAATCCGTATAGAAAATTTCTATACGATTTTGTCATACGTGTTGTCATTCTATTTTAGGAGGTAATAAATAATGAAATGAAATAATGGGCCCTCCCGAACTCGATTTTTCCATCTAATGAGAAAATTGACCTTATGATGTTCTTAAAAAACGAATCCGTGCACTGAGAGAAAACAGCAGAATTCTCAAACAAGTCACTTGTGCCAAATAAATCGTTTGTTAAAATCTATCAAAAAAGGATTTTTTCGTGCCAAATACGCGAAGCGTGCGCAGAGATTGAAAATTTTCATTGCAAAAATGAATTGTCTTTTCAGAAAAAAATTCTTCTCCGTGCAAGCAAGAAATGTAATTTCTAGCACTACTTCATTATTAGATGCTCCCATACGTATTTTACTTCCGGCAAATGCTCGTTTTATATGAAACGAGGGATAGTAGTTAGTCGTTTCGACAGACCAAAAATGAATTCTTAAGTGAAATAATAAGCATGATGTGACAGCAATCTTGTAACTTAGGGACAAAATATTTCTTGCTAAACTTTTCTCTATAAAAGATATTTTAATCCTGAAAAGGCGCGGTCTTGTATTAAAGCAGAGAAATTATTCACGTTTGAGACTTTCAAATTCGAATCAAACAGTTTTTTTTGTAATTGTCAACTAACGATTTTGTTGGCCCAAACAAGACTTGTTTGAGTACTTGTTCGCACGCATGAAAAAATTTAATAGAAAATTCTAGCGAATTCGTTAGATAATTCTATTGGATTTTAATTGAACTTTCCATTAGTTTTTGGCCGATTATATTAAAATGTTTTCAATAGAAAATACTCTATACATAAAGTACATAAAATTTTATTTTTCCCGACAACTTATTCTATTGAGATATTTTCTATGTAATTCGTTGGCTCAAATTTTCCAAGTTTTTTTTTTCATTCTATTTTTCTTTTCTTTTCATCAAGAAAATCAAACAAAAAAACTCGGAAAATGTGAGCAGAGGACATTTTATAGAAAATATCTCAATAGAAAATTTCAGCCGAGGAAATTCTATAGAAAATATCTCAATAAAATGAGTTGTTCAGTCGTTTATTAGAGTTCTGAAACAAAATACATAGGATGCAAAAACTTTGGCAAATGATTGTATAGATAAATCAACTTCTATTGACTTTTTCTGTAGAATATTTTTTATTGAACGTTACAATAGAATCGGCCAAAAACTAATAGAAAGTTCAATACTATTGACTAGCAAATTCGCTAGGTTTTTCAATTAAATTTTTTCGTGAGTGCGTTTTCTCTCAGTGTGGTAAATTGATAAATTCCGAATAGGGTGCTTTTTTTGAAAATTTTCTAATACCCAGTTTCTGCGCTATTCAACTTTAAAAAATGCAAATTTCGTGATATCATTTCTTGTTTGATTCCAACAATTGGTTAACAAATACTTTTTCATTTGATTCAAACACTCATTGTTGCCTTCATCAACAACACATGAGGATAGAACACCTCGATAACCCATAAGAATGCAGTAAATTAAGTAACTTAGAATTTCTTCCACAAATCCATAGGGATTAACATTTGTATGGTACTGCTTTGGGATACCTCAAAGACCTGGCGTGTATCCTTGCCTTCCTCACCAGGAATTCCATTCAAAAATACTTTCAAAAGCTTTCATGCAACTGAAAACGAAACCAAACAAAAAATTTCTCGACTCCCCCTTCACACTTGCTATGTCCCCCCAGTTTTATCACTCATCTTCATCGGATGAAGCCTCTTAACATCCTTCCTATACTTCTCAATAGTGATATCCGGATTAACACAAGTAGAAAGACTCAACGAGACTGGATCAAGACTCGCAGCGAGTTTGAGGTAAGTTTCTTCCATTTCCTTGGTAATCTTGATCTCCTGATAGTCCCCATCAGCCTTAATCTCCTCCTCCCCCTCCTCCTCATTATTCGAATCAAACGAAATGAGGTCTTTGACCTGTGTCGAATCATCCTCCAATTTCTCTGGTATCTCAATCCCCTGATCTCCAATTCGATCATTCCCAGTATTATTGAACGTAAGTGAATGTAAACTATTGGTTCCCTGCACCACTGGTACACTTGGATTCCTATTATCCCCATTGAACTTATCATCAAACCCCGGCATATTGATCAACGTATGACCCTTGCTCCCCCCCACCCCCCCATCGCTCCCCTTTTTACCCTGTGAACTTGTTACAGAGGACTGTACCCACTCAGCCACCCTCTGTACACTGTGCAATTGTGTAGGCGAGTCATTTGGAAGAATTGGAAATGCCTCGTCACTGCTAGTCGACGGTGATCGACTCTTCAGCGGATTATTATGAACTAGAGCTGTTGTATTCGATAAATTACTGGCATTGGGACTGCCACTGAGGCTCTCAGGGCTCGTGTAAACTACAGTCTGATAGTTCCCCCTCGCATTGTCCAGCAGAATGTTCTTCGAGGCCTGGCTGACCCTCATCAGGCAATTTCTCGCTGTATTATTCGTCGTATTACCATTGAAAATCCTTCTCTTGTCACTCTTGGATTGGATGAGGTCGCTGGAGCTGCTGGAGGGTTCTGAACTCGAGATCATCACTGCTGAACTGTCACTACTGAAACTGGGGCTTGCAGCCACACCTGGCGACTGGCCGACTGTCTGATTCAGGTTCACAGCGTTCGTCACCTCTATCAGTGTTACATTCTGGTGCTGATTGTTGTTCGGGGAATTTTTCTTCCAGATTCTCTCGTTTATCACGTCCAGGTCTATGTCCCCTGGTCGACTGCATCTGGGGAGTTTCAAGGGGTCCTCAGACCTGTTGTTGACACCCAGCTTCGTCTTGTTGGACCACGTGTTCTTCCAGATTCTGTCGTTTATTATGTCCACTGGGCTCTGGAGGGCATTGGCGTTCGTCAGGTCCAGGTTTTCGGGGCGTCTGGTGACCATTGGTGACGTTGCCTGGGGCTTCATCTCCGGGAGGTCCAGCTTTTTGGATTTATTCTGTTGTTTTGATTTGTTTGTGATGGACTTTTGGGATCTCTCGAGGAGAATTTTCGATTGGACCGAGGCCTGGGGGATTTGGCTCGGCTTTTGGGGCTGGACTTGACGGAGGCAGGTGTAACCGTTCAGCGAGGGCTTCTTGTAGCTGTCCTCGGTGAACATCAGGGTGGTTTGACACTCAGAGTCCACCATGAGGACCATTTTGTGGCAGACGCAGGTGTCACAGTGTTTCGCGAAAATTCTCTCCTTCTCGCGGTCCTCCAGGACTTTGGCCATTATCGAGGCTGAGACTATGTCCACGGGGGGCTTGCCGTCGTCACTCTCGTCGTCGCTGTACTTCTCGGTGGGGCTCGGCTTGCTGATGTTGTAGACCATCGCTGTCGGGGGGAAAGTGGAAATTGGCACTGTTATGCTTTTTACGTCTGGTGGGGAGACGTCACTCGATCTCCGCTTCTGGGCGATGTAGGTCTTCACTTTGGCTTGGACTTCTGTTGGTAGGGAGTCGTACTTCTGGCCCACGAAGTTCGAGGGTTTGCACTGGAGGAGCTGGATTGCCAGCGTCACGTCGTTACGGTATTCCGCCTGGAAGGAGAATTTTTGGAGACTGTTAGAAATTTTTGGGCGGCAATGAGGATATACTTTGGGGAAATCTTCGGTAACCCCTCACGTACGGGGCCCTTTTGTTTCCAAGCGTGGAGTACTTCAATACGAGTAGAATGTAGTGAGTTCTAATCAACGGAAAATTGTGAAAATGATATGCAATTGGAGCTACAGTATTCCTTTTTTAGTTTTTATTTGTTTGGTTCAGTTAGATTATATAGCTTTGGAAATAATCATTTTCAAAGAGAGTCATTCATGTTTTCATGGGTCGATGCCATGCGTGAGGGGTTAAGGGACGGTTCCACTGAAATTTCAAGCAATTTCGTCATTGAAAAATCCAAATTTCAAGGAAAATCAATGGAATCTGTCAATTTCAGTGCTATTTCTCTATATTATAAAAATCCAAATCCACTTTTGGTAATAAAAATTTGGTACTCGAAATTATGACTCTACACTGAGAGAAAAACGACAAAGTTCTCAAACAAGTCTTACGTGTGCCAAGAAAATAGTTTTTTGAAAATTATCAAAAAAGGATTTTTTTGTGCCAAATATGCAGAGAGTGCGCCGGAATGAGACATTTTTGTTGGAAAAATAGACTTAGTAGGTAAAAAAAAATTGCATTCTCTGTGCACGCAAGAAATGTCATTTCTAGCACTACTCCTTTGTTATTCGATACTCCCATACGTATTTTGCTCCCGAAAAAACTTCGTTTAAGCGAAACAAGGGATAGTAGTTTTTTATTTCGGCTGTCTAATAATCACAGACAAGAAATGAACTCTTAAATGAAACAATAATAATGATATGATAGCAATCTTGTAACTTAGGGATAAAATATTTATCGATAAATTTTCCTCTATATGAGATATTTTCATTTTGAAAAGACACCGTCTGGTGTGAATTATCCGCCTCTTGAGCCAAATATTTCGTTACTGTCGAAAGCAGAACAATTATTCATGTTTGACACTTTCAAATTCGAACCAAACGAATTCTTTTTTGGCAATTTTCAACTAGCGATTTTGTTGGCCCAAACAAGACTTGTTTGACGTGTTTGTTTTTCTCTTAGTGCACAATTAAGGGTCACAAGGGTCAAAATAAGGGTCAGAAAAAGGGTCGCGAGGTTCAAAATCAGGGTCATAAGGGTCAGAATAAGGGTCACAATCGTGAAATCAGTTTTCCTACTACACTGTTAAACAATTTTTGCTGTTATTTTCCGTACATTTCTCGGAAATTGGTATTATGTGACAGTCCCACTGGAATTTCAAGGAATTTCTTAGTTGAAAATTCACAATTAAGTGAAAAAATTAATGGGTACTGCAAATTTCAATTCAATTATTCCAGAAGAATGAATAAAAATGAGGAAAATTCAGGTACACGCACGAAAAAATTTAATAGGAAAACCTATCGAATTCATTAGAAAATTCTATTGATTTTCTATTAAACTTTCTATTGTTTTTTGGCTGATTCTATTGACATGTTCAATAGAAAACATTCAATAGAAAAAGTCAACAGAATTCGATTTTTCTATATAACTTATTCTTTTCATATATTTTCTATAGAATTTGCTCCACTCAAATTTTCTAAGTTTTTTTCATTCTATTTTTCTTTTCTTCTCATGAAGAAAATCAAATGAAAAAACTTAGAAAATTTGGTCCGAGGAAATTCTATAGAAAATATCTCAATAGAATAAGTTATATGAAAAAATTGAATTCTACTGACTTTTTCTACTGAATATTTTCTATTGAACATTTCAAGGGAATCGGCCAAAAACTAATAGAACAGTTCAATAGAAATTCAACAGAATTTTCTAACAAATTCGATAGGTTTTTCTATTAAATTTTTTCGTCCGTATAAAGATATTCTTGATTCTCAATTAATTGAAAATGCAAGTAAGTTGGGGAATTCTCGCCTTCCTGCTGTTCAAACATTTGGAATTTTATTGAGTGTTCAGTTAAATGTGGAATTTCATGAATTTGCGTAAAGTGGAGTTGGCGGAAATTAACGCGTGTTTTCGTGACGATTGTTGTTTTATATTTGAAATTGCGGAACAGGCACGCCTGCGGTTTGTTTTTAAAGTCAACTTTGTGGGTTTGTTGTCATAATAAGAGAGTGAAGTTTTTCCGGGCAATATTTTGACTGTATTACTCCAGTTTTGAAAGGCGAAAAGTACATCGATACATCGATTCCGCTCAGTTCAGCTGTTGCCGAATATCTGAAAATTGGGAAATGAAATTTTTGTAGCTATTGATATTAAATTCTGTTATCTCTTGAATGAATTCCCGAGAATTCGAAAAAAACTGACATTATTTCTTGGTCTCATTCTCTCTTAAATAGTTGCATGAATTAAAAACAATTCTATATTTCACTCGAATCCATTTTATTTCGCACTTCTTTGTCGGAAGAAATGAAAGTTCAATTATTTCTGTGATTATTTATATTTAAACATTACAATGAAGCGCCACCTGAAACTCTCTAAAAACTCATATTTCTACTTTTGAGAATATTATTTGTGATTTTAAAAATATAAAAACGAACGCCTATCGGGCTGACAATCTCTCCGGAGACACTCATATTTCAAACAACGACTGATAAAAATAATTTGTTTGTATTAATTCCGATGATCCGTGTACTTTCAACAACAGGTTGGCGCTCTTCACTTCGTCTAAAAGTCCACTAAAATTATTCCAATCATTTCTATCTATTCGATGATAAGAGAATGTGATATACTAAAAATTCTCTAATAAATGTAATGTGAAAATGGAATTGTCATCGCCTTACAATTCCGAGTATTTTTCCGTTTTGTCAAGAAATGCGGAGTAAAGTGATGACCAGATTGGAAATCTGTATGAATATAAACTGATAACAGAACATCATTCGCACTAGTTTCAATGATTTTCTCTTCCAAATGCTAGATATACCAATTCTCTTCCTCGAAAAAAGACTACCTATGCTTATTCGCTTTCCTTCACAATCCTCATCTCATGTTAATATTTCTGGATGAATAAAAATGCAACTTCAGTCGTTTGAAAGTTCAGAGAATTTCCCAAAGTTTTCGAGAAATTCAAACAGAAATATTGATAAAATTCGCAATCTGTGTAAGCATAAACTGATAAGAAAACTTCATTTACACTCGCTCTGATAATTCCGTTCTCCAAATACTAGACTTCTTCTTCAGAAAAATATTATCTATCTACGCGTGTTCATTTATCCTCTATCTCAATTGTAAGTTGATGTTCAATTTCATGAAAACTCAACTAATTACTTATAGCGATTTTCTTGGCGCGATTTTTTTCCAACTTGTCTAGGTGTCTTTCTTCGAAACGAATTTTTTGTTTCGGATTTTGACGTGCTTCTTGGGGACTGAAATAACCTCCAACCCCTCACCCCCTTGCCTGATAGGATTCAGTTGTTTTATCGAAATTTCAATTCCCAAGAAACACGTCAAAATTGAAAAGAAAAAAAGTCGTTTCAAAAAAACACACCCGAATAAGTTGTAAAATTTGCGATCTGTATAAATATAAACCGATAACAAAACATAATGTATAGCTGTTTTGACAATTCCATTCTCCAAATGCTAGAAATCTTTTTTCCTCAGAAAAAAAAACAATCTACACTTGTTATTATTTCCCCTATCGCAATTGCACGTGCCTGTACAATTTATCCTGGTCCGTCGGCTTATTGAAACTCCATTTTTAACCTACTCATAAAAAATTAAACTAATCACTTGATCCTATTCCGATCGAACTGCCCTCAGCATTCACAAAACCTCATATTAATATTCCTGGATGGATGAAAATGGAATTCTACACGGAGAGAAATATTCAATAAAATTTACGTATCTTTTCCGCAATTCCGGAGCGAAATGTGGTTGTAGGAAATTTTACGGAACTGTCACGGAATTTTTCCGGGGCGTTCCGTAATTTTTATCTGAATCTCCTGTGAAAAATTACGATACCGTCACTTAAATTTGCCGAGTCGATTTCGTAATCGGTGAGTGAATTGTGAGTTCCGTAATTTTTACTGAACATGTCTCTCCGTGTCAATTATTCGAAAGTTCAGGGGATTTCCCAATTTTTTCAAGGAATTCAAACAAAAATATTGATAAAATTCGCAATCTGTATAAATACAAACTGATTGCGACAAACTGAAACAAAACGTCATTTACACTCGTTCTGACAATTCCGTTCTCCAAATGCTAGAAATAGTTCTTCCTCAGAAAAAAAAAACTATCTTTTTACGCTTGTTTATTTCCTCCATCTCAACTGCCCGTTTATATACAATTTTTCCTGATCAATCGCCTTATTGAAACTTCATTTTTTAACCCACTCATCAAAAATTAAACTAATCACTTAATCCTATTCCGATCGAACTGCCCTCTGCCCTCGAACTGAATATGTTAATATTCCTGGATGGATAAAAATGGAATTCTAATCATTTGAAAGTTCAAAGAACTTCCCAATATTTTCAAGAAATTCAAACAAAACGAGTGATAAAAATCGCTATCTATATAAATGTAAACTGATAATAAAACGTCTTTTACAGTCACTATCAGGAAATACTTTTTTAAATGCTAGAAACACTTCTTCCTTGGAAAAACCAATTATCTATCTCCGCTTGCTCATTTTTCCTCACCCTCACTATCTCAATTGCACGTTCATGTACAATTTCTCCCGACTAATCGCCTTATCAAAAATTCATTTTTTCACCTACTCATGAAACTTTCAACTAATCACTTAATCTTATCCCGATTAAACTTCCCCCGACATTAACAAAACTTCACAATAATATGTCTGGATGGATAAAAATTGAATTTCAATAATTTGAAAGTTCAGAGGATTTCCCAATTTTTGCAAGGAATTCAAACAACAATATTGAATATATTCACAATCTGTTATGAATATAAACTGATAACAAACGTCATTTACACTCGTTCTGATAATTCCATTCTCCAAATGCCAGGAATACTTCTTCCTGGGAAAAAACAATTACCTATCTACGCTTATTAATTTTTCCTCGTACTCCTTATCTCAATTGCACGTTCATGTACCACCTATCCTAACTTATCGGATCCCCAATTTTCAAACTACTTACGAATACTTCAACTAATCATTTAATCCCATTCCGATCAAACTTTTCTCCACATTCCCAAAATGAAACTCATCATTTCTCGACGGGAAAAAGTTGAATTTTCATCTTTTAAAAATTCAAACTGAAAGATTGATTAGCTCAGAAATATGTATGACTACAAACTAGTAACAGAAAATTTAGTACCCCAGTTCTGAAAATTCAAATAAGGAAAAATAGACAAAGTGATTTTTTCTCAAAGTTCAAAACTTTCAAATAAATTTCCCAATTGGGTTCAGTCGAGGCCTCGTCACAGAGGGGGAAAATTGTACATTCCATGAACAAAAAATCATCCCATTTCCTTAACAATTCTGTGAATCATTAGAGTAGTAGATCTAAACGCTACGTAAGTTGTTGAGTACGAGGAAAATAAATTATAAAATGTTAAAAAAAAAAGATTCATTATGGATAATTTCTTATATGAATTCGAACTTTGATGAGAGTAAGAAATTAATCCGTCAAATTCTCTCTCCCATTATTTTTGTGAGCAATAGTTTCTCGTTTGAGAAGGGCATTCTGTACGTTCGAAGTACCCAGAAGCAAATTATTTATCACAAAAGTTTGATACTGACGATAATATTCGTATTAGACAGAATTTTCATTCATTTTCTTTTGTTTTTTAGACGTTTTCGACATTTTAGTCATTTTTTTAACCTCGGAAAATTCATTTTCGCATAAGAACCTGTGTTATTTTGCCATTTGTAACTTAATTATTATCAATAATACTTGACCAGAGAATTAGCCATGAACTCAATCAGAATGTTTTTATTCATATCAATTTCCATTTAGAATTTATTTCAAATTTTTGTCTTCAAAATTTAAGTCATGTTTATACTACTTTAACATTAAAAAAAAAGTAAAAAGTGTCCATTTGCTTATTCTGTTTTGATTTTTTCAGATTTTTTCTACACTCTAATCTTCTCTCTAACCTCGGAAAATTCACTTTCTCATAAGACTCGGTGGTATTTTGCCACTCCTAAATTAATTATTATCGATAATACTACAATGCCAATTGAGCACGAACTCAACCAGAATGTTTTTATCCAGATCAAATTCCATTCAGAGTTTATTTGAGATTTTTATCTTCCAAATTTGAGTCATGTTTATAATATTTTAACATTTGAAAAAAAGTAAAAATGTCTGTTTACTTATTTTCTTTTGTTTTTTTTTTCATTCGGATCTTGCAATGCAAAACAAAATATAGCGGAAAAAACTCAGAGAATCCGTGCCCAATAGTTTTAATAGACAATATCTTAAGAGAACAATTAAAACAGAAAAATCGAAATCTATTGACTTTTTCCTATCAAATATCTCATAGAATCTGCGCAAAAAACAAATAGAATTTTAACGAGAATTCTCTAGAAATTTAATAGAATCTCCACAGAGTTTCTAGAGAATTCGCTAAGGTTTTCCATTGAATTTTTCCATACGTGCTAACCTCGGAAAATTCATTCTCTCATAAAGGCTCCGTGTTATTTTACCATTTCTAAATTAATTATTATTATCAATAATACTAGACTGTCAATTGAGTCAACCTCCACTCACCATTCATTTTTGATTTTTGTCTCCAAAATTTAATATTTATACTAGGGGAGGTTGGGGTAAAATGGACACTTTTGACGTTTTAAAAAATATTAGTGATGGGTTGAAATGTTGATGAAGTTTAATTTTTTTTTTTTCAAAACAAAGAACAATTCTTTCCCTTTGTGATGAGCCTAAACTGAGCTCTATTGATAAATTTGTTTCTGAGTTATGAATAATTGTGTACGTCCACGTGAAAAGGGCCCACTTTGTCGCATCTAGTTTCCAAGTATACACGTTTTTCTCTCCACTTCTCCCATTTAAACCAATGTTAAACTGTTTTTTGATCGACTATACTGACGTCAGTTTTCATTCTATGGGGTTGAATTTGGGCTGAAAATGTGAGAAATCTGATCAAGATTATCAGAACATACATAACTCCAATACCGTCAAAGTGGGCCCTTTTCATGTGGATGCCCACAATTTTAAAAAAGTCTAAAGTGTCCATTTTACCCTACCCTCTCCTACTTAAATACTTGAAAAAAAGTAAAAAGTGCCTATTTACTTCCACTGCCTCACCTCTCCTCTCCCTCGTAAAAAACCTATCTACCTTATTACTCTCCCTCGTGCTCTCTACATCAATTGCACGTGCATGTGGAATTTATCCTGTCCAATCGCCCCATCCCCTTTCTCCAAACCCACGAATACTCCAACTAATCTCCCAACCCCATTCCCATCATCAAAAATTCCCACTCACAAACTAAAACTTCACCTAATCCCCCCTAAAATCAAATCCCCTCCATCAACATTAATTTAAGAAACTCACATTATCCTGCGACAATCGGTGAATCCTGTAATTAGCATCAGCCAATCGATGTGACAGTGTCGCAATATCCTTGGTGAAGGCACCTTTTTCAGTCTCACATTTATCCACAATCCTCAACAACTTGTCCTCAAGATTTTGATTGACCTTTTGCACTCTCTTGTGTGCCTCATAGAGCCTCGAGTACTTGTCCTCCCACGTGCGTAGTTCCTCCCTCATAGACGCCAATTCCCCATTAGGAAATTTATCAGCCTCATTAAAAAATTGGGTCTCCATCTTAACAATGTGACTGTCTTTTTCCATCAAACTCTGTCTCAGGTGTTCAATTTCCGCATGGAGATGAACGTCACTGTGTCTGTGGTCATTCGTCGTGCACCTCGCACAGACACAGCCACACTCCTGTCGATAAACAATGAATAGATAAATGTCGGAGCGTAAAAACTGGGGGGAAATGTGATGGACAGCATTTGGATCGATTTTTCATCAGTTTTTTATCCTCAGAATTTTTTGTTATCATCAGATAAACGAATGATTCGTGAAATATTCGAGGAATGAAGACACATACCTTACATTTCTCCGACATTGTGGTGACAATAACTCTCAGTGAGAGGTCCAACAATCATAAAATAAGTCCCTAAAACAATGATCTTGGATCCCTGGTTCATAACCCTGATGAATCCTCCACGAAACGAGGGAAATGCCAATATCTTCAGCACTCAGTGTCACTCATCCCCATGTTTTATTTTATTTACGAAATTATTTTCCTTGTCAACACTGGAGATTTTTTGAATAAGTTTAGTCAGTCAACAATTGCTCACGACGGTACGGGGGTTTTTCGAGTTATTGCCGTTGAGGGAGGATTCTGGGGGTGAATGCTCCGGGGATTGAAGATTATTTAGAAAAATATGTGGGGAGAGGAGATGAGACACTGTCGATGTGTTGTGAGGAATACCAAGGAATACAATCGTCACATCGCGCATACGTGTTATGAGCCAGTGGCATTGAACAAGTGGCGGGGCGCATGCGCGACTACGTGAATCGTTGGTTCCCCTTGAAAAGTCAATCTTCGGGATTTTGATTTTTTTTCGTGATGAGACAATTGAGATTGCAGGAATATCGATGATGTCATGGTGAATGTGGGAACGGGGGGTTTTTTAGATGTCCAATTCAATTCAATTGATTTATTTCTTTGATGTTACAAAAGGTTTCTTTGTTTTACGTCTTCACTAGCGTTTTCACCTCCCATCCTCTTCTTTTAAATAAGATTATAAATTTCTGACAGACCATTTGCCACGGTAATTATACATTATTCATGGCTTCTGTATTGAACTCAATATTCCTCAATGTTAATTAAAAACGCTCTTTCAAAATGTTTAGCTTTTTTTTTCCTTTTTTTTCGATTCAATTTCATAATTTTTGGGGGATCTCTGAGTGGGCATCGAGTTGCATGGACTTGCAAATTCGAGATAAATATCGAACAAAAAATCAATGTAGATAATTAAATAAATTTTACTTGAATGAAATAAATCATTTATTTGATTCTAAAAGGGAATTTACTTAATTCCACACCATCGAACAGAAATTTCTTCCCTCAAAGAAACGAAGATTTATCGGTTAGCAGAGATCCTGCGGTTTAGTTAGAGGCGCTCCGCGTGATTAAACACTTTAGGCTCGAAATTCTGCACTCTTATTTAACGTGTTGAAAAATGTTTAGAAAAAATTTAGAACACACGGAGAGGAATATAAAAAGAAAATTACGTCTCTTTTCCGTAATTTCGGAGCGAAATGTGGTTGTAGGAAATTTTACGGAACTGTTACGGATTTTTTCCAGAGCGTTCCGTAATTTTTACTGAACATTTCTCTCCGTGCATAGTTTTAATCGAAATTTTTTTGAATTTTTCAAAAATGGTGGTCATTTTGTTCCTCCACTTTAACTTCATTGTGAAATTCGGAAAATAAAAATTCAAACGTTGATTTCAGCCTGTTCTCTACTTTTTTCCCTAAGTCTGATATTTTTTTCGGAAAATTCAGAAAATTTCCGATCGAAATCTTCTTTGAAAAATGTGAGCTCATCTGCCCCAGAGTCAAAACACAAATGAAAAACATAAAAATTTATCCTTCGAAATTTGATTTCTCACGGTCTTTGCGTATTACGATGTTAATACGGAATAATGAAGTAGGTTTCGTAAATAAAAATAACTAATAAATAAATAATAAATGAAAATTGCAATTTCAAGATCAAACCATGTAAAATCGTTTTTCGTAGCATTAACTTTTTGTTTTTTATTTTCTTTCCGTCTGTGTAGCACACGAGCGCACATTTTTCAAAGATCATTTCGATCAGAAAATTTCGGAATTTTTGGAAAAAAATATCAGATTTAGAAGAAGTGGGGAACAGCCTGAAATTCACGGTTCAAGTTTCATTTTTCGAAAAACGATAACAGTTTTTTTCCCGGGGTGAACCTCCCCTTAAACATTTCAACGGAATCGGCCAAAAACGGATTGAAACTTCAATAGAAATTCAATAAAATTGTCTAGTCAATTCACTAGGTTTTTCAATTTTTAAATTTTTTCATACGTGTTGATGTGCTGCAATTTCAGTAGAATTAAAAAAGTATATCGTGTAATTAAGATGCGAGCAATTAAAAAAAAGAATTTTGTCAAAAGAATGCTTGTTTTCATTTTTTATTTTTAGTTCTTCTTTTCAGGTAATTTGTGACTAGTCGTAGTAAACTCCAGCAACAATTGCGATTGCGTAGTATTCTAGAGTCTCGTGAACGAATGTTGAATAACTGTCCTTTTCGGCATCCCAGATGAAGCCAAGTCCTGTGTGGATTCCTTGGCCACTCTTTTGGATTATTGTCACGGTTACAATGTATTTGTAGCTGAAATGGCGAATTATAATCACTTGGCTATTTGTTACCTGCAAGTTGAATCAGTTTCAAAGGAGTAACTCGAAAGAACAATTGATTCTTTACATCTCGTTGAATTATATCCAATACTCCCGATACTTATTAATTCTAGGAGAAATATATGAAAGAGAATTTTTGGTTGAGAATTTTTTTAGCTACAGAAAAAATGACAAAACAATATTTTGTCATATTAAAATGATTTCCTTTTTACATGAATGAATAATTAACAAAATCGTAGGTTTAATTTGGGAAAGACCGGAGAATAAAATAAATTCTCTTTGATGATTCAAGATCGTTGAAATCAAATTTAACGAAATTTGTGCCATTTCTGAGATTTTTTTCACTTTGAAAAATGCGTTAAAATTAATTCTACACGGGAGTAAAAAAACCCTATCGCAACAGCCCAGGACAAGCCGAGAGGGCATTCATTTGGTAATGCGGGGAGGCAGTGATTGCTGATTTCACGTGATTCCATAGAGATTTCCATGATTTCATGCAATCATTGATTTAATGAAATTCTATTTTGAGTGAAAATGTTTCACCTATTTTTTAACAGAGGACAATAGCTATGCTATATAAAAAAACAGTTTCCTGCTTATTAATTTCGTCCGAGACAGATTCATGTGAAGATGAATCTCTAATGATATCTTCTGACAGACGCATTTGATTCAGGTACAGGGATTTCAATGAATAAATGAATAAATAAATGAATGTCCGAATGAACAAATAAATGAATGAAGAACGCAACAACTCCAGCGATTTAGAGTATGAAAGTCGTATCCCCTACCGCATAAAGTCCTTCTTAAAAATTTGCTTCCGAATTTCCATCGCCATATCCTGACAAAGTTTCATGCACCCCTTGGAGTCATACACTTTAACATCCGTCAGCGTAGTCTTCACCACATTCTCAAGAATCTTGTCAACCGCGTCGGCTTTGAAAGGATTCGGAGACTCTAGCTGATAAGTATTCTGGTACCGTGGAACCTGTCACAAATAATGCATGAGCACTACGTTTTCCCCCAAAACCCCCCAAATTATTCAGACCGCAGGTGGCTACCTTGAAGCCCCCCTTCCCAGTCTTGAAGGCTATGCTGGCTCTGGGTAGACCCACAAGGGATACAGTGCTGCTTCCAATCCCAGCTCGAGATATCGAATCCCTTCTAGAGGGCCTCTTACCCCCTGAGGTCAGTGACAGCCGGGAAGGGTCAGTCTGGCGTGCTGAAACGGGCGAAACATGTCTGGGGTGTCTCATAAATTTACAGTAATTTTTCCAAATCATAATTTTACGTTCCGTCAGTGTTTATCCAATTAAAAAAAATTATTTGAGGCTTTAACTCTCGATCACTCGCGCTCGGCAGCCAGCCTTCATCCGATTTGGTTAGCGCTGCGCCGCTCCGTTAAACCGAGCGCGCTGTTGCCACTTTGGCGCTTAGCGCTATGCGCGCACTTCAAGTGTGACAGTGAATGTAGCAACACTGTCGCTCGAGCGGTGAACGGAGACCCGCTCGCACCGGGCCGTGCGGCGCCGCTATTTTGTCCGTCCGAAGTTTCCTTTTGTTTTTTAGGTAAACAAATTTCTCGAGGATGAAACAGACAACGCCAACGCTTAATAAAAGGATTGAACTAGAAAGTTTAATTTTTTCGGAATTTTTAAGCATCGAAAAACACGTTAAAATACAGAAAAACGAAAATGGGCGACGCCGCGCTCATTGAACGAGTAATCGAGGATTTAAAGTTAAAATGTCAAATTCCATTTTTAATTAATTATGGGATGTGGAGATATTTACACGTCGATTTCGTAATTATTTGAAAATATTTTTATGCCACTCATGCCTGAAACCGCCTGGATTACACACTCGACGCTTCGCGTCTCGTGTCTAATTCAGCCGGTTTCAGGCTTCGTGACATAAAATTTTGTTCAGTACTTGTTGGGAAATTTCGTCCTTAACGTGTGTGGTTACATCACTCGCCTTCGGCTCATGCTGTAAACCCCACACACGTTAAAGACGAAATTGCCCCACACGTGCTGAAATATACTATTTTGTGATACCTGCCTCAAAAGTGCACTTTTCGAAACGGTTTAGTGTGCGTAAAGCGGTTGTTTTCCGCACGGCGTGCGTAAAGTTCACTTTACGCACTTGTGCACAAAAACAACGACATTACCCCCACTACCGTTCCGAACAGTGAACTCGGCAGGTATCACAAAAAATAGGATGTGTCTCGTGCATGTGAAAAAGTGGAACTTTACGCACTAGTAACACAATATACTAAAAGATGGGATTTTTGTTTGTTGAGAATGTTTGAATGTAATTTTCATCATTTGTGCGTAAAGTGGGCTTTTGTGCACGCGGAGCGAAACCTACACTTTCGCACGCTCCGCGTGCGCAAAATTCCGCTTTCCACACATCGCGATGAAAAATAGAATTCGATACTCGTGGGAAAAGTGTTCTTTGATCCTTGAGAGGGTAGCACTTGCCTTCGGTGTACATGAGTACATAAGACAGTAAGACACTTTTTTGTGATACCTGCCTGAAAAGTTCACTTAAAAAAAAAATTATTTTGTGTAAAATGCGTTTTACGCACGGCATGCGTAAAGTTCAGAGGTCGTGCGTAAAGTAAATTCTCGTGCGTAAAGCGAAGCTTACGCGAAGCTTATTCGAAATTCACGTTACGCACGACCTTGAACTTTACGCACTTCGTACACAAAAAACAACCACTTCATCCCCACTATCGTTCCGAACAGTGAATTTGGCACACGGAAAGAAATATTCAATAAAAATTACGTATCTTTTCCGTAATTCCGGAGCGAAATGTGGTTGTGAGAAATTTTACGGAACTGTCACGGAATTTTCCCGGAGCGTTCCGTAATTTTGATCTGAATCTCCTATGAAAAATTACGATACCATCACTTAAATTTTCTAAGTCGACTCTGTAATCGGTGAGTGAATTGTGAGTTCCGTAATTTTCACTGAACATTTCTCTCCGTGCAGGTATCACAAAAAATAGGATGTGTTACGCATGCGTGCGAAAAAGTGTTTCTTTACGCACTTGTAGCACAATATTCTATTTTACGCACTCGTATCATAAAATATACTAAATTGGCAGTCGCACTGTGAATAAATTCAGCTTCGGTGAAGCACCTGTGTTGCGATGCATTTCATTTCAATTTTCAGGTGAAATTCAAATTAATTATTACCGTTCATTACATCATACGTCGATTGACTATAAACTTAAGGGCATATTTTTCTTTTTCTACATAAATAATCATTTGATTTTGTTACGTAAAATTGTCAAGACTCAAACGAAAATTAAACTTGCTACGATTCAATAGTTCATTACGATAAACTGAAAACAAGCCGTTCCTGAGGTATTGCGCAAAACGATTTTTGAGAAATCGCTATATCTCAGGAACGACTCAACCGATCAGGCTGAGATTTAGCACAGATTTGTATCTCATTGGTACCAACTGTGAGCCAAAATTTCAACTTTTTTGTAATTACGGTTTTGGAGTCATTGACTCCAAACCGTTTTAGACACGCTTCGCGTGCCTAAAACGTCCCTTTTCCACACATTGTGATGAAAAATATCGTTCGATACTCGTGGGAAAAGTGTTTTTTGGCTCGTGGGAGGTTTATAGCACGAGCCGACATAATCCCACGAGCTAAAATAGTATATTTCGTCATTAGGCCGAAAAAAACTTTTTCATCACGCTGTGACGAAAAGTGAACTTTTCGGCACGCTCCGCGTGCCTAAAAGTCCACTTTCCGGCGCATTGTGATGAAAAATATTATTCGTAACTCGTGAAATAGTATATTTCGTAACGAGTGCAAAAAAGTGTGCAAAAAAGAGCCGAAGGCGAGTGATATAATCCCATGAGCTAAAAAACATTTTTTCACGAGTTACGAACAATATTTTTCATCACAATGTGGCGGAAATTGGACTTTTAGGCACGCGGAGCGTGCCGAAAAGTTCACTTTTCGTCACAGCGTGATGAAAAATATTAAGTGTCCATTTTGTCCCATCCTCCGTGCTGCCTCATGCTATACAATATGAAACTCATACTGCACCCTGTGTTATCGAGATAATACTTTAAATTCAGTACAGTATTGATGTCAAGGAATGAAAGGACTGGTAAACTGAATGAATCACTCCCGTCACCTATGATAAAAAAAGCGAAACAGCGCAATCGAATTTTTCAAAAACCCCCCAGTAAAATCCCCATGGCACCTCGACTCCAAAATGTCATAATAAATTTAACCAAAACTCACTCATGGACATTTCGTATTTTTTCGGAAGTTGAAACCCCAGAAAATCCAATAAACTCAAAAATTCGTCCTGTTGAATTTAATTATCCCTTCATCTTTACTTGAAAAAATTCACTTGAAAAATAATACAGAAATTTCGCGATGAAAATGAACAATTTCCACAATTTTCAATGATGAAAGCAGACCTTCACTGACTCAAACGCGTAATCCCACTGATTCAAACCTCCGCGGGAGTTGAGTCAATTGAGCATCAGATCCCCCGGAAGTGACGAAAATATCGTCGGGTGTATCGAGAAGTGTCTTCCTCACGGACACGAAACTCTTGTCTGTGGTAATGTGTTGATCAGCAGGTCGACACAATCAGCAAAATCAGCTCTGACAATTCAGAGTTCAAAACGTTTCACCCCTCATATCTTATGAGTCTGAACAATTCTCGTGACAGTGAGTTTCAGTGAGTGATTTTCCATCTCTCCGTCGAAGTGAGAAATTTTTTGGCGAAAGAAGTTTCATCAGAGATGTTCCGGAGTGCATCGAATTTCGACAAATTGCTTGGTGAGTAATCGAACGTCATAGTGTCAAGATATCTCGACGTTTGCTTTTACTCATTGTTCGTTCACGTTTTTAATGCAGATAAAGCCACGAGTCACTTGCATTTGGATCCAGATTGGCCCACGATATTACAAATTTGTGATGCGATAAGAGCAGGTGATATACAGTGAGTAAATGAATCACTCAAACGGGTATCACTCCCACTTGCATTAAATCCCGAGCCCCCAAAACAAATTTGACCCTGTAAAATGATCAAAGGGAATTCATGAAGATTTATTAATTATTCTTCCAAAAACTGCTGGGGTTCAGCTCTTCATAAATTTGGAGGGGTTTATGAAATTTTTCTATTGAAGAAAAAATGATGAGATATGAAAATTAGATGGAAAATATTTGATACCTTTTTTTCTGCTTGAAAATTCATGAAAAATCTAGAAATTACAATTAATTTTTGGTTTTGCTTCCGAATGGAAGCTTTGAAAATGCAATTTTTTCGATTCTCTAATTTTTTTTCTCAATTTTTCTGGGATTTACGTTTTTGTAAATTTGAAGGGTTTTACAAAATTTGTTTATTGAAGAAAATGATGAAATATGAAAATTGGGCGGAAAGTATTAGATACTTTTGTTTAAAAATTCATGAAAAAGTAAGAAACTAAAATTAAATTTTATTAGTTTTTAATTAAATTTCTCTGGGGTTCACCTTTTTATAAATTTGGGGTCTTGTATGAAATTTTTTCATTGAAGAAGAAGGATGAAATATGAAAATTGGACGGAAAATATTAGATACTGAACTGCTTAAGCTGTGATATTGTGATATTATCATTTTTCATTACGCATTATTGATATAAAACCACAATTTATTGGAGTTTTACTGGAGATATTTTTCTATGGCTTGTGTAGATGTAAAACTGTAATAGTAGCATCAAGGAAATAAAGTCATCTATTCTATTAGATACTTATTGTTTGAAAATTCGTGAACAAATAAGAAATTGAAATTAAATGAAATCCTTATGAACGATAAATTGAATTGCATTGAATTTCAACTAAATAAACACCTGCATCATGACATCACAATGATGCTTAAGATGCTTATTACTATTTTAATACAGACAGGTTGTTAAATCGAGGACCGTTATATTCATAAAGGATATAGATATTCGAAAGAGATAAAATTCTAGAACAATTCAACATTCATTCAATAAAAGTGGTAGATGATATGCAATCGTTTTCTAAAATCGTTTTTGATTCTGTGTATTTTATGCATTTTTGTAATGCATTTCATGTATTTTTATTTTTAAAACCTTATTAAACGAGTTCACTTCGAATTGGAAAGAAAATGTGAAAAACAGTAGATTAATTTCAGAACAGGAAAAATAATTCAAAAACCGCACGGTTTTTATTTTAAGAATCTAACAATTCTGATTTCTAAAACCAAGAATTTTTTTATATAAACGAAATTGTGCTTCAATTAAATTTTCCGTACAAATATACGACATTACAAAAAAATTAATGAGAATTAGAACTATTATTCTACAATGTTGAGCGAAAAATTTTTCACAATAAGTGAAAATTTTACTCATTTTAAAGATTTTTTTCTCGCTGGAATTGAATAGCAAAGAAAGTATAAAGAGGAGTAGATTAATTTCAGAACAGGATACATCATCTATTCAAGAACCCCAAGGGTATTTTTTCAGGACCCCAATCGTTGCGAACTCTAAATTAAGATTTCCTCTGAATAAAGCAAAAAACGCGTCTCAATCTTCAGTACAATTATACTACATTGAAGTAAAAATTACTGAGAATTATAACTTTATTCTATGACGTTGAAGGAAATTTTCTTTTCTAAAAATGAAAATTTCGCTTGCTTCCAGAATTTATTTGTCTGCTAAACTTTATTACCTCAGAATTCTGAAGCCTTTTTACTGGAAACTACACTTTTTTCTCTAAATGCAATGAAATGAAATAACCCAAACCATTACCACTGCACTCAGGCCGAAAGCAGCGCTGGTCCAAATAAAGAAGAAAATAACAAACGCAAACCCCCACGTCGCCTACTACGGCCTCCTGGTCCTCGAGTCGTGTGTGAAAAACTGCGGTGCCCTGATTCACGATGAAATTGGCACGAAGCAGTACATGGAACAACTGAAGGAGTTGGTGAAGACGACAACCCACGAGAACGTGAAGCTGAAAACCCTCGAGTTGATTCAGGCCTGGGCGTTTGCATTCAGGAACAGTCCCAAGTACACTGCTGTCAAGGATACTATGAGCATTATGAAGGCTGAGGGATACGTGTTTCCTCAGTTGAAGGAGAGTGACGCCATGTTCAGTGCTGATACAGCACCTGAGTGGGCGGATGGTGAGGTCTGCCACAGGTGCAGAGTCGGCTTTGGGATGGTCCAGAGGAAGCATCACTGCAGGGCATGTGGACAAGTTTTTTGTGGGCAATGCTCGAACAAAACTTCGACTTTGCCGAAGTTTGGGATTGAGAAGGAAGTGAGAGTTTGTGATGCTTGTTACGAGAACGTTAATAGGTAAATTACTGAATTTCGGATTACTTCACTGACAAGGGAAAGGGCGCGCGCTCCGCGCGCGCATTTAAGGGTGCCCAGTGAATTTGGCGATGACCTTGAAAATTGACATTCACCAACAAAGTTATAATTTTTTTAATTAATATTATTAGACAGATGGTGAACATCGGTGACAATTTTAAAATTTTAGAACTTATGGATATCGAGAAATTAAATAAACAAAATCAGTCTTATACACGGCCTCTTATGGAGTTTTGATTAAATTGAACGTTTCAACCCCCTAGGAACTCAAGAAAAATTTGAAAAAATTTGAAGATATGGGGAATGATGTGTTCAATGTGATGGCGACAAAAAACAATGGAGTACCGGGGTGAATAAGAAAGATATTTCAACCCGCTGTACCCATTTGATCCCATGCTTTCTCGAGGTTCGTCAGGCGAAATAGATGATTTTCCGCATTTATTTTCTCGATGTCTAGTTCCGGTTGCGGGTTTGAAATTTCGTCGGATGGATGAATACATATTTCTCCAATGATGGAGGGAAAGAAAAATTTTTTTTGAATCTTTTTTCAAATTCACTTGGCACCCTTAATTCATGGCCCTCCAGTTAAGCTAAGCTAACTGCTGCATAGATGATTAATATTTATTTATGGTCCATACTTCTCTTCAAGGATCGTTTTCCCTATTAAAAAAGAATGACATATTTTTTGTCGACAATTTTTAAAACGATTCACTTTTGGAGATAATTAGAATTTTAATGGGATGTGGAGAAGAACTTGAAAAATTTGATGATATTATATATATAATATGCTTATATTCCATATAAATAATATAATAATATAATTATTTTGAAAAATATTGATAAAAAATGAAAGTATACATATCAAATATTTTTCTAGATATATTTTTTAATTATAATATTATTATTATTATATTAAATAAATATATAATTAGCATTTTTCCAATTAAAAACGCTTTTTGAAAAAGTTCAGAATTTTTTCTATTTTTTTTATCATTCTATCATAATTTTTGGGAATTTCTACATGATGTACCACTCAATTGACAATTTTGGATTACGAAAGACAAAAAAAATGCAGATAACATTCGAAAGATAGCACACCCGGGCCTTAACACTGAAGTCACCACCGATTTCGAAATTTCAGTATATTCTGCCCTTAATCAACGGAAAGATTAATGAATCCACTGAGAAATCCATTCATCCATCTATAAATCTAATTTATATATCCAATTATTCATCCATTCATGCATTTATAAATCTATCCACTAATTTATCAATAGATTCAGCTATTAATTCATTAATGAGTCAATAAATCCATTTCGATTCATTAATTGTGTCCACTTGTTCTCTAAATGGTCATTGAGATAACCAATCAATTCGTTCAGTTGATTGATAATTCATTTAATTTTCCTTCCAGACCCAGTTCAGCTAATTCAAAGGAGACTGATCTACCAGTGGAATACTTGAGCAGCTCTCTGGCCCAGCAACAACAGGTAAACAAAAAGGGTATTCAAGTAGTAGAAATAAATTCCAGTTGAACCATTGAGTGTAACGGCGAAAAACAAATTCGAAATGCTCAAAAAATGAATTATTCATCATTGATTTTTTAATATAAATTCCAACTTTGATAAATGTAAGGAATTTATTCAAGCCCCGGGTGTACTATCTTTCGAACGCTATCTCGATGTTTTTTTTCATCTTTCGTCATCTGAAATTGCCAATTAAGTCCTGCATCATGCAGAAGTTTTTAAAAATTATAAATGAATAATAAAAAAAAGTAGAAAAATTTCTTAATTTTTTCAAAGAGCATTTTTAATTTATATTCAGAATAAGTTGAATAACAAGAAATTGAAAAATGTATCTGATTTACGGTGACAAATGGCGGCCTGTCACCCAATATCATGCGGGGGGAAGACTGATCTCGTAAATCTTTTTCCACACTGCACAGACATTTATTACGGAAAAGGCGCTTTGAAAAAAGTTGTAATATTTTGGAGAATTTTTCAATCACATTTTTATCACATAAAAATGGCAGATGACTACATACCACTGTTTTGAAAATTGAGATGCCTAGCTGTCACTTCCCATGAGGAGTTAGTGTTTTGTTATCCACCATGGAAAATGACAGTTAATAGATAATTTGCCACAGCGAATCAGATATTTGTAATTTCCACTTTTTTCAACTCATTCTGAATCTCAATTAAAAACGCTCTTGAAAAAGTTCAGAATTATTTACATTTTTTTAAAATCATTCTATCACAATTTTTGGGAATTTCTACATGATATACCACTCAGTTGACAATTTTGGACTACGAAAGATAAAAAAATCCAGATAGCATTCAAAAGATAGTACACCCGGGCCTTAAATTCTTTCTTCAATTATTTCGTTAAAGAGTAGTCTCTCGTTAGGCACAAGTTTTTCGACATGATACGTCATTTGGAGCACGTAGAATCATAAATTATTTATTACAAAGGCCTGGCATTGACGATAATTTTCATATTGGACATGGAATTTTTACTTATTTTTTGCTCATTTTTCGAGATTTATTGTAGGTTTTAATCCTCTTCTTTACTTCGAAATTTTAGCACTTTTTTAAATTCGTATTTCTTTCCTACTACCATTACGATCTTATAGGCTCTCCATTCGTTCGCCTTGCCTCTCCCACTTCTCTCTTCTGATTTTTATCTACGTTACCATGGGCCGTCTTACTCTACGAAAAAAAAAAAATTATTAAAAATGTCAGTTGACTGATCACTAGGTAATAAATGATGATGATCTTGGTGAGCAATTGGTGATGAATGATTCTGCGCAAGCAATTCGAGAGAAGTTTCTCGAAATCGATTTATTGATCGGTGGATAAAATCTCACATTTTTTTCTGGAATAATTTTTTCTAAAATTGTATGATCAATTCAGTAGCGACGTGGAATATTTCCGAATGTAAGAGCGATAGTGAAATTTTCGTGATTACGTTTGTTGTAGATCTCAATCGGCTCTACAAAAAACGTTATAAAAAAAATTTTGTTATCTTCCTTAGATTCCGAGATATTCATTGAAAACCGGCCAATAGTCAAAATTGCCTTGTACCGTTTTGCCACTTCGCTTCTGAATTATTAGAAATCTCAGAGTCGACTTATCACATGATGATGAATGATGATGATCTTGGCGATGAATGATTCTACGAAAATTATTCGAGAGAATCTTCTCGGCGACGATTTATTAACTTACAGATGAAGTTCTCTGACATTCCTTTCTGAAATAATTTACTCCAAAAATGTATGATCAACTATTATTCTGATGGTTCTATTACTGCAATCTCTAGTTTATTCATTCACTGTTCGAACAGTTCATACATGTAATTGAATTAGTATTGGAAAATGGCGTCTTCGGTGTCAGAGGTAGAATTCAATTGCATTTTTTTTCTCTCATTTACTCGGGTCGTTAGCGAATGCCGAATGTATTGGTTTTATGCGTGTTAATTGATGATTTTATGACGATGGTTTGCCAGGTCCCACCCCGGAAGTCAGCGGAAGAGCTTCAGGAAGAGGAGGAGTTCCAGTTGGCATTGGCATTGAGTCAGAGTGAGGCTGAGGAGAAAGAGAAGGAGAAGAAGAGAGTGACTAATTTGTATAAAAATAATACTGCACCTGTGGCTAGGACTTACTCTCCACCTCCATCACCAGTGAGTAATTTTTCTATTTCTGGAGTTGCACATTATTACGGAATTTATTTTCATCGTGGATTTTCTCTGAATCGTGCAGTGAATTTCAATTTGATTGCAATTCCATAATCAAATGAAAAGAAATAAGTTGACATTAACTATCTATAATTACGCAATTATCTTCAGAATAAGTCGTTCGGGAGATGATTACAAATGAATAGGAAGAAATCCTTCATGAAAAGATTAATCATAACAGATCAATTCAATATTTCAAATCTTGTTTAATAATGAAGTATTTTAACAGTCAATAATTTCAAAAAAAAAGTTCTGGAGGCACCCTTTATAAAATCGTTTGCAATAAAAATACAACTCATTCGGGAGATGATTACAAACGAATAAGAAGAAATCCTTCATGAAAAGATCGAACATAAGAGATCAATTCGATATTTAAAATCTTGTTTGATAATTAAGTATTTCAATGGTAAAAGATTTCAAAAGATAATTTCCTGGGACATCTTTCATCAAATCATTTGTCATGAATTTTTTTTTTATAAGATCATTTATTCTAGACATAACTGCAAACATGAAACCCAAGAGATGAAATCAATATTCAAAATCTCACTAAACTTCAAATCATAGTTAACGATTTTAGAGGACAATTCTGAGGGCAATGTTGCACGTACGAAAAAATTTCATGGGAAAATTTCGCGATTTCGTTAGGAAATTCTATTGGATTTTTATTGAACTTTCTGAGTTTTAGGCCGATTCTATTGAAAAATTCTGCAGCTCATCTATGTGTTTTTTAAATCGAAACTCTCAATGATTCTACTGAGATATTCTGTCGGTTCTCAACTCGCAATTTCTAAGCTTTTTTGTTTCTTTTTTTTTTTGAAAGAGATAGAAAATAAAGTTGAAAAAATTAAGCAAATTCATGTCTAAGCATTTCTATTGAAGACGTCTCAATATAAAAAATTGTGTAGAAAGATGAAATTCTACTGACTTTTTTATCAAATTGTTCCAATTGGACTTTTTCTATTAAAAATGCGGACTTCTTCACTACAGTCAGCCAAAAACAAATACAATTTTCAACAAAAGTTCAATAGAAATCCAACAGAATTTTCTCCCGAATTCGCTCAATGTTTCTATATAATTTATTCATTAAATTCGGTAATTGTCTCACAATTTATCTCAAAACAAGCCCCTCACCTTTCCTTTGAAAACAAACCAATGAGGCTTCACCACTCTAGTCTCCAACAATTCAGCCCTCAATTTTCCCCCCAGGGTCCGAGCCCCTCAAAACTCCAAGATGACGAAGCAGTCGACTCAGAGCTCGTAAAATACATGAACCGAAAATACTGGGAGAACCGTTCCTCAAAGCTCGAAGACCACCCAATAATCCGTCCAGATGTCACGTCCCCGTCAGCCCCGAACATCAGTAGTCCAATGCCGCAGCGCCTGGTGGTCGCTAAACAGCAGAACGGTGAAGTCGACACCCAAATGGACGAGTTCGTTACCCACCTGCGGTCCCAGGTCGAGATCTTCGTGAACCGCATGAAGAGCAACTCCTCCCGAGGGCGCTCGATCTCCAACGACAGTTTCTTCCAGGATCTCTTCATGAAGATAACAACGATGCACTCAAAGCTCCTGAAATACATCCAGGAGCACGACGACACCCGAGTCGGTTACGAGGGCCTTCAGGACAAACTCGCCCAGGTGAAGGACGCTCGAGCAGCCCTGGACGCCCTCCGTGAGGAGCACAGAGACAGACTGCGCAGGGAGGCCGAGGAAATCGAGAGGATGAAGCAGCTCCAGATGGCCCAGAAGTTGGACATAATGAGGAAGAAGAAGCAGGAGTACCTGCAGTACCAACGCGAGCTGGCTCTCCAGAAGATCCAGGAACGAGAGAGGGAATTGCAGATGCGCCAGGAGCAGCAGAAGCAGCAGTACATAATGGGGAACTACCAGCCAGTGCCTAACTACATGGGGCCATCCCAGGGCTCCCCAATTCGTCACATGCATTATCCACCTGGTGGCACGTACCCAATGTCCCCAACGAATCAGGGGGTCTACACATATGGTCCACCACCGATGGGCAATTATCCCATGCAGAGCATGCCAGGGATGCCCTATGGAATGCCCCAGATGCCCCCCAACCACCTTCCCCCTCACATGATGCCAAACATGCCTGGAAGCCAGTCAGACCAGCCTCAGGGGTTACCACAGCAGCCTGGAGGCTCCGAAGGGATGATTCCACCCAGGGAGAACATGGGACCACCTGGAATGATGCCACAGATGGCGAATGTTCCCCCAATGCCACAGATTCCAGGGCATCAGATGGGATTGCCTCAGTCCCAGGGGATTCCAGGGGTTCACATGAATCATGGGGCGGGGCAGACCCAACAGATGACACAAATCCCTCCGTTACCAGGTAATCAAGGGCCCATGAGACCTCCTGGGCAGATGGGAATGAGTCAAGGGGTGCCTAGCATGCCTCAACATCCCCCTGGGTCGCAAGGACCACCTGGACCACAAGGAATTCCACAGCAAATGCCCATTCCTAGTCAGACGACTCAACAAATACCCTATCAGCAGCCTGTGGCACCACCACCCGTCGAGCCATCCACAACCACTGAACCTGCGCCCAAAGCCGAAGACAACTCCGCTGAACCGCTGATTTCATTCGATTGATACCATTTATCCATTTTACCTGTTTTCATCACGTGAATGTAGTTGTTTATATTACTGTATCTCTCGGCGATTCATAATTCTCTCTGGTTATTATTTTTCATATATACTGTAAGGATCCGAATAAAAAATATTGTAAGGATGTAAACAAAATTGAATAAACGTATATCAGTCAGTTGAATCATTTTTATTCGTCGATAGAGAAAATTATTCGGTTTTTTTAGCTAAAAAAGTGTCAGCGAACGATTTCGTCACATGTAGACAAGGGTCACCGCCTCTGAAATTTCCAAAGTACTTTTTTATTTTTTAGCGAAAAGTATTAACAAAGTGAAGAGAAATATGTCTGAGTTGAGATTTATAACTCAATGGCTCATAGAGATTATTCAATATTCATCACTTTTCATCCAGTGTGTCGACATAATCTTGAAACAGATTTTACTTTGTTATTGAATTTTTTCCCAGGGCCCGAAGAAGCTAAAATATTTAACGAAACGTTGCAGCTGTGACAAATTAACGAACGTTGTTATATTATTTCTCCAATTTTTTTCTTGATCCAAACTAAATGTTAATGAGCATTGGGACCAATCACAAAATTGATAATCTTAGAATTATAATAATGAGAAAGTTTAATTCGTGATGCAGATGTACTATAATACATATTGTTACGCGCACGAAAATAGTTAACAGAAAAACCTATCGAATTCGTTAGAAAATTCTATTAAATTTCTGTTAAACTTTCTATTAGTTTTTGGCTGATTCTGTTGACATGTTCAATAGAAACCATTCAATAGAAAAAGTCAACAGAATTCGATTTTTCTATATAACTTATTATTTTCATATATTTTCTTTAGAATTTGCTCGATTCAAATTTTTCAAAGTTTTCATTCTATTCAAAGTTTTTTTCATTCTATTTTTCTTTTCTTCTCATCAAGAAAATCAAACGAAAAAACTTAGAAAATTTGAGCCCCGGAAATTCTATAGAAAATATCTGAATAGAATAAGTTATACAGAAAAATTGAATTCTATTGACTTTTTCTACTGAATATTTTCTATTGAACATTTTAGTAGAATCGGCCAAAAACTAATAGGACAATTCAATAGAATTTTCTAACGAATTCGATAGGTTTTTCTATTAAATTTTTTCGTCCGTGTACGTCTCTCGAATAACCAAAAACATTGCAGCGTTGAAGGGGTAAAACAGAATACGTTGAAGATGAGTTTCGATGAATATATTTCAGTCTAAGGAGAACAGAAAGATTATCCTGGAGCCCCTTCCTATATTAAACTGTATAAATCAACCTAAATTAATGCAGTCACATCATTTTCTTGATCAAAATCATGTACCAATTGTCCACAGAAATTGTAATCCCCGCATTCTAATCATAATTAACGTCGCATATATTGATTCCTGGTAAATTGTCATGTACCATCCCCATTACACATTGTGCAGTTCAATTTTTTTCATGTTCAGTTTATTGTGTGGAATTCGACATGTACAATTCAAAGATTTGAGTTTAGGAGAAACAGAAAATCCATAAAACTTGATCCTGAATTGGTGAATTTTGTTTCCATTGAATTACACAAGAATAGTCGAAAATAGGGGAGAGTGGGGCAAAATGGAACAGCCGGAAAACGACTATTTGACGCAATTCAAGCAAAAAAAAATTTTTTTATCAACTTTTGTTTATTAATTTTTTTACTATTGGGAGTACTGGTGAGAATAATAATTTTCTATTCGCTAGAAAAGAACATGCGGTGCAAAGAAATCACTGACATTTGAAACCCCTATATAGGGTAGCGACTACCTCCACGGATGAATCCCACTCCTCTGTTAGATCTCGATCTCAACGTCCAGTAGTCAGCTTGTCCCCTGACTCTCCAGCAGCCAAACTAAGACCTCGTCATCGCTGAGTCTATGCTTTCTCCTCATTCGAAACTCCAAAAGATTTTTCATATATTTCTTCTGTCGAGACGACGATATTAATAATTTTCACTAATTTTATTCACAGTTCTCTTTTCCAGTAATATGAAATATTTCATCTATAATTCAATTGATTAGATTCGGGCGATTCACGGACGAATAAATTTAACAGAAAAACCTATCGAATTCGTTAGAAAATTCTATTGAATTTCTATTGAACTGTTCTATTAGTTTTTGGGCGATTCTATTGAAATGTTCAATAGAAAATATTCATTAAAAAAGTCAGTAGAATTCAATTTTTCTATATAACTTATTCTATTGAGATATTTTCTGTAGAATTTCCTCGGCTCAAATTTTCTAAGTTTTTTCGTTTGATTTTCTTGATGAGAAGAAAAGAAAAATAGAATGAAAAAACTTAGAAAATTCGAGTCGAGCAAATTCTATGGAAAATATATGAAAAAAATAAGTTATATAGAAAAATCGAATAATCTTGACTTTTTCTATTGAACATGTCAATAGAATCAGCCAAAAACTAATAGAACAGTTGAATAGAAATTCAATAGAATTTTCTAACGAATTCGCTAAGTTTTTCTATTAAATTTTTTCGTGCGTGTTGCACTTTTCGTTTTTCATTCGATTGAAATTCAGCATCACATTTTCCTTTTTCCCCCTCTGGGTCTTCCTCTGGATTCGGGATTTTGCTGTTTCATTTTCTTTTCAATTAATCCATCGGTAAAATCATTGACAAAATCTTCTGCCGTCAAAACTTCTCAATAATTTTCCATTCCACTGAATGTACTCCCAATAATAAAAAAAAAAATTAATTAAAAAAAATTGTTTTGCTTGAATTGCACTCTCCCCTACTCGTTGAATTTCCAAGTGCCACGTGGATAATCGTTGGTGCCAGAATAAACCGAGAGATAATCGAAGGATTTGAATGAAAGGATTCGGAGGTTGTGGCAGATTTTTCGAATGATTTATTTAAAATTTAATGAGAAAAATAAGGAAAAAAATCTGCAAAAATCATACTTCAATGATTCACTATGCACTTCAACTTGAACAGAACTTTGAATTGTTTACCTGCAGAAATTTTGTGAAAAAGAATGCAAAAATCCGAAAAATGAAGATTTTCAAAGAGCCTTATTTAGTAATATTTATGCATATATAGGGGAGGGTGGACAGAGTGGAACGAGTACACCCGTAAAACGGGCATAATGGTTGATTATTTGAGGATGTCGGTTATTTGACCCCGTGGTTATTTCGCCACAACCACCCCCAACACGATGAAAAAAGTGAAAAACAATGCATAAAACAACGTCGTTCCACATTGGCCCACCCTCCCCTATTCGGCATGTGTACAGTAAAATCCAATGAAAAGTCAATCTGTTGAGATTTGCGTCAAGAGAACACTTTTGAAGATTCCATCAATGAAAAAAATCAAAACCTAATTTTCTCTGTTTTTACACTAAAACTGAAGTAGTAAACTCATCATCACAATAAATAAAGACCCCTGTAATTTTGACATTTCCATGCGGTCTCTGCTTAATGCAAAACATCAAATGTGTTAAAAAATTAATGGACCCTTATGCATAGTAGGTAATTTTGTCGATAAATCATTAGAATCTAAGGGGATAGAAAAATTACCTTTAGCCAAAAAAGAGCCGTAGGAAAAGTCCTCTAATCCCCTGAAGGAGAGACCGCAGCGAAATTTGAAATATGCAGGGGTTTAGGGTTATTTTCTATGGTTAAGAAATGAAAAAAAATCAAGTTTCAATTTTTTCCAATGACGGCATGTGGCTGTACAGACACAAAATCTTTAAAATAGTTCCCTTACCAGCATTTTTGATGGATTGACTTAAATTTTGGTTTCCGTACACATAATATATTAACGAAAAAAAATATGTTTTTTGTTTCAATTCAAATTTTTCCATCTTTTTCTCAAAATTGATAGACAATTGTATTTTACTATGGTGCAAATTTAAGGCTATGACACACCAATGAACTACAATTTTCATTTTTTTGATCATTAGTATGGCAGTTTTGAAAAATAAGTAATTAAAAAATATATTTTTTAATAAAATCGAAAAATTGAAATTTTTCATAAAGCTCACATATTTTTTTCATCCCCATATTATGTATGTAGTGATCAAAATTCAAGTCAATCCATCAAAAATTCTGACAAGGGGGCTATTTTGAAGATTTTATGCCTGTACACCCACATGCCGTCAATAAAAAAATAAAAACTCGAAAATAAAATGGAAATAAAAAATACTCTGCAATTTTAAAAATTGACTGTGGTCTCTCCTTAAATTCATACATTCATCAAAAACCGAAATCAACTCACGCGTGAAAAAATTCCACAGAAAAACGTAGCGAATTCGCTAAACAATTCTATTGGAATTCTATTAAACTTGCTATTAGTTTTCGGTCGATTCTATTGGAATGTTCAATAAGAAATATTCTACAGAAAAAGTCAATAAAATTCGATTTTCCTACACAACTTATTCTATTGGATGTTTTTCTATAGAATTTCCTCACCTCAAATTTTCCAAGTTTTCTTCGCTCTATTATTCTTCTCTTTTCATCAAGAAAATAAAACAAAAACTTGGAAAATTTGAGTCAAGGGAATTCTATAGAAAATAACCCAATAGAATAAATTTTATAAAAATATTCAATTCTATTGACTTTTTCGATTGAATCTCTCTATTCAACATTTCAACAAAATCGCCCAAAAACTAACAGAAAGTTCAATAGAAATCCAACAGAATTATCTAGCGAATTCGCTAGCTTTTTCTATTAATTTTGCGTGCTCAACTGATCTTATCTCCACAAAACCTGAAGAAGTCTTGAATATTCCCAGCAACTACTGAAATCTCCAGCTCCCCCTGAACTCTCCTCCCCCACATTCCCCATACTTTTCGATAAAAAATACAAAACAACTTTAAAAACATTCAGATCCCATTACCATTAACACCCAACCCCACCGCAATTACACAGTTTCGACCTGTCCCTTCCGCCGAGGTTTTGTCGGCGCATCCGGAGCTTGTGGTGAAGTGAACGAGGTCTCCTCCGAGCATTTCTTACTCAACACAACATCGTTATTGACAGACGAGCTCAAAGTCGAAGTGTTGGGTTCAACAGAGATAGCAGGCAGCCCTGAGCACCCATTCCCAGTGAGTGAGCTCTTCCTCAGTCTCATGTCCTCCAGAGGAATCTCCTCACTCCTCGGCCTCGGCATCTTGGGCGAGCTATCCCTCGGCCTGATGCCATTATCACTAGTGTTCCCACTCGGTGGGCTCACGTCCCCCACAACCCTCCTGCCCACCCCAGTCCTGGGTTCATTCTGCTTTCGCAATTGAGCTGCGAACCCTGGGACCTTGTTAACCGTGAACATTCCCCTCTGATCTTTGCCTCTCTGACCCCTCCCCGCGCTCCTCTCGTGCCTCATCCCAAGGAGAGCATAATTCGGTGGAGTTGAGCAGCTCGGCAGATTCGTGGGTATATCCAGTAGCTTCGCAATCTGACCCATCTTCTTCTGCCTGGCCTTGATCCTCCCTTTCGTCAACCTCTGCTTGGCAGCCATGCACCTGATATGATCGTCAAAAATGAACTTGGCGGAGAGCAGGGGCAGCCTGTTCCCTCCACTGCTGCTCAGTGGTTTGTGAATCGTTAAATGTAGACACCTGTGGAAATTCAAATGGGAATTTCATTTTTTGCAATAATGAAGAGGATTTTGGACTGTGAAATTCTGAACGGGAAATCTTGAAGTGACGCGTCACGTATGAACAAATCGTATTGAAATTTTCTGCACGGATTGCGGAATTTCTATAGGATTTTCGTATATGATATTCGGAGATTTCTATACGGATATTTTTTATACAAATTATTTCTATACGATTTCTATAGGTTTGATTCTGTAGGACCCATTGCCATATGTATAGAAACATTTCGTATGGAGTTGCGGTATTTCTCTACGTTTTTCTCGGAAGAGTTTAGACATCTTTCGTATGAAAACGAAAATTTATGTTAAAATTTATGTATACAAATAATTCGTATAGAAATATTCGTATAGAAATATCCGAATATCATATAAGGAAATCCTATAGAATTTCTATACGATTTTTCAACAGGTGAGTCGCGTGATTGTTTGTGACGATATTCATAATTTTGCACTATTTCATCTATAATTCAATTGGTTACACTTGTCGTTTTTCATTCGATTGAAATTCAGCACCACGTTTTACTTTTTCCCCCTCTGGGTCCCCCCTGGACTTTGAACTTTGCTGTTTCATTTTCTTTTCAATTAATCCATTGACAAAATCTTCTCCCGTCAAAACTACTCAATAAGGTTTCGTTCTACTAACGAGAAAATTATTCATTTTATCAGTACTCCCAATAATAAGAAAAAGTTAATAAAAAACAAGATGAATATTTTGAGAAAAAAAATTGAAATCGTGTGAATAGCTTTTGAGATATTGAACAATATAGTTTTATACAAAAAATTGAATATCTTTAAAATTACTCATTCGATTTCGCTCATCTGAAATCTCATCCTGTAATATCCTGTATGTAAGATCTAGAATCCCACCAAATTTCAACTGCCTATCTCAATTTTTTCAAGCGTTATCGTGTCCACATCAATTTTATCAATGAAATGAAAAATATCAATTACTGGGCGATTCGCAATAATTAGCTAGGCATACTGTGATCCAATTCGAGAGATATTATCATAAGGAATATTTTGACGCCAAAAAAGATCATTTGATGCAGTAGTTTTCGAGATATTGAGAAAAGAATAATTTTTTGGAATCGCTGGATCTTAGAAACTACTGGACCGATTGAGCTGCACTGAGAAAAAAAAATTTCAAAGAAATAGAAATTCTATGATTGATCCAAATCGTTCATCGATTGAATAGTCGCAACAGAAAATGCTATTGTAAGACGCAAATATCGATTTGATTTTAATGTTTTCGATTGAAAAAGAATGAGATCAGTTATCTAAACTTTTTTTTTTGTTACTATCTCCTTTTCAGTACATACAAATCAATGTCTGTATTATCAGATATCTTCTTCGAATAAAGCATGTAATTATCCAATTTATCAGCGTCACGATATCCCGCAAAAGAATATCTGTTCGACTGAAAGCAGAATTCATAGATGCAATAAAATATTCATTTGGTCTATGAGGCACATATTGTTGGATACTCATTGTTGCGAGACTTTCGCGGTGAGCAGTTTCTTGTTTACGACAAACGCAATTCTTCATCATTTGAACTGATTATTTTTCCATTGCAATTGTGAAAAAAAAATTATTTGCGCCAAATCCGAAGCGTTTGAACTAAACCAAAATTGAATTGTATGATATCGATTTTGTCGCAAAAACATGTATTTTCTAAATTCGATAGAATAAACAAAATATACTATACTATAACAAAATCGATTTCATACGTTTCAATTTTGGTGTAGTTCAAATCGATATTTGTTCCTTACAATAGCATTTTCTTTTGCGACTATTCAATCGATGAACGATTTGGATCAATCATAGAATTTCTATTTCTTAGAAATTTTTTTTCTCAGCGTGTAATTTCGCCCAGATGTGCTCTCAAACAATACCAATTATGAGCCAATATTCCAGATTTTTATCTATCACTTTACCCCGTTTATTGTTAAACTTAATTAAAAAATTCCCCGAATTTTGTACTCAATACGAACGCCTACACAGACATGTTCTAAAAACATCATATCTCGGCGTTTCATGACATTCTAATCTATTTCCAAGCAAAATTAGCGAATAGAAAAATCGACCGAGTACAAATCTTCCACTCGGTAGTAAAAATAGTCAATAAAAAATTGTTTTCTGCTTGAATTGCGTGAAACATTCGTTTTTCGACTGTTTAACTTTGCCCCACAGTTTCACTAATAATTAAACAATCGTTAGAAAACCCTGTTTTCTATGGCTATACCCCAACATACCCCTCAAATACCCCTGAATTAGAATGTCATGAAGTATCTTCAATACAAAAAAGCCTCTGAACAGAATGTCATAACCCACCTCGAGTCGTCCTTGTCCCCAGCCACCTCAATATCCTGAAGGAACCCCACCAGCTTGGCCACCCCCCACCCCAGCTTCCTCGTGTCAGGTTCCACGAGGATCAGCTGAATGACATCGATCACAAGAAACCTCCGGATCTTCTGTCCATCCTTCCACACAACAGTACAAGCAATCAAATCACTGTTATTCAGATCCAGGACATTCCCCACTTGGACGCAGTTCACTGGGTTCGTCAAAGGTAGCTGAGCCTCCGGCTCCTTCCCCAGGAGCAGCGACAGCTCCCTGACTAGAAAAAACACACGAATGGCCCTTCGTGCCCTCTCCACCTCGCCACAGGGCAACCGTTTGCTGAACTCAATCCCAGTCATGGGAGTGCCAGTTGGTGGCAGTAAAATATTGCTATCCATCATCAACCACTCGACATTCAACGGTTTCTTCTGTACCTCGCTGTACTCATCCTCAAACATATCGAGAAATATATCCTCACTCTTGTAAAAATTCCTGAGCAGAGCTGTGCTCTCCTCCTTAGCAGACTCTATAGCAGCCAAATGTGCATCACATAGTAGACTCTCCCCATCCGATATGACTAATTTAATCAGCAACTTTATACTCATCTCTAGTGTTACAAGTCTTATTTTAGCATTAGTCTGACAGCTCGCCGAGATAACGTGGATAAGCTTCTCTATTAGAGCAGAGTTGTACCAATTGCTGGGGGTTTTTACAGACGTCGCAAAGTCCAAAGTCTCTTTGTCGACCCCTTCATTGCTGATTAATGCGTAAAGCAGGCAGAGGGAGAACAACGTGGCGTAATCGTTCTCTGTGCAGTGGAGGGAGTTTAAAATGGTCTCGAGAAAGGGTTTGGCAACTGGTGGGAGGGCTGAAGGCTCCTCGAGGGGCTGTCTGCCCTGGCTGGGGGAGAAATCAACCTCCAGGGCTAGTCTCTGCTCCTTCTCCTCGTCGGTGACGTTCAGGTGCTTGATGTCTTCTTGACACGATACCGGTGTCTCCTGACTGTCGAGGACCTCTGAGTCTGATGTGGAGGAGTGCCTGGGGCTCGACTGCTCGGGGATGTCCTCCAGGGTCAGGGCCTGGGGGTCTGGGTGTCCAGAGAGACTCTCCAGGGATTTTTCCAATGTCTCACTCGGTGGGGCGAAGACAATGGACTCGTCGAAGGAGGAGAGCTGGTATTCCTCAAGGACTCTGCTGACTCCATCCTCCACGATGTGGGAGTCTGACTTTAGGATCACAGCAGCTAGGGTTCGCACCAGGGGCTCGTGAGAGACGATGAGGAACACTTGGGACAGGAGGAACAGGGAGACCACAACGCTCACGTGCTTTCGCTCCCCTGGGCTCTGACCTGGTGGGGATATCGATTTAGTCAGGGAGTAGACGTACAGGGGCACCAGGAGCTTGTGCAGAAGGTGCTCGGAGAGAACCTTGTTCAAGTCTGGAATGTTCAGGGAGAGGATGTCGTTCAGGTAGTGGAGGTGGTCCAAGTGCTCGGCGACGAGGTCTGACAGGCGGTTCTGGCTCTGGTGGTCTGCGTCGTTTCGCACACATGTGTCCAGCTCGATTATGTGGTTGCCGATGAACCAGACGAGGTTGCTGAAGTACGGGGCTGCTGTCCTGTCGCGGATGAAGGCCAACATCGAGGCGTCCTCCACTCGGTAGACGTTCAGGGTCAACGTGCGAACCGCTATGCGCACCATTCCCTCCGAGTGGTTGAAGAATTTTATCGCCTCGGTGTACAGGGGAAAGTCGTTCGTGTGCTGGAAATTTGAAATGGGGGTTAAGGGGGGATTGGAGAGGCAGGGGTCCGTTGTAGAGTGCTAGGCGTAATGGGTTTTATTGCTTGTTGAGGATTTCATTAGAGTCGGAATGAGTGGGGGACATTTTTTGGGAATTTTGTGGATGAAGAGAGAAGTTTTTTAGGTTTGTAAAATCGATGGCTCTTGAGAGGAATCCAAAATTAATAAATTGGATGAACTGAAATTATTTTTACTAGTGGTTTAGTGGTCCGCCTTGAATTTTGAGTTGCATTTTTAATTTTCTATTTATGATAATTACTATTTTTTAATAAATAATCGTTCATGAATGTGAAAAGTCCCATGCCCCTACGCTCGTTCATTTGTCCTCATGCTCGTTTGACACATGTCCCTATCCTCGTCTCGTGATTTGAGTGATATGGAAAAGTTATATCTGAACTAATTACATCGTATCCTATTTTGTGATAAAACAACATTAAAAAATATCTCGATGCACAAAATTATATTTCCATTGGACAATCCAACCTTTTAAATAATTTTTTCATCCGTTTAGTCCGTTACCAGTTGACAGTTGGGTGCAAAACGAGCGTAGGTTCAATGCCATTTTCATTGTACCTATTCTTTTAATTGGCGATATTTCAGTGAAATCTCCGGATATTACTATAATTTATGCATTTTTATTCAATTTTTAACTATTCGAAACCTTAGCCAAGGGATTTTTAATTCCATTTTACTATTGTAACGGAGATATCAACGTTTTAAAATTGTGAGTTTCTTAACTTGTGGCTTAAGAATTAACTTTGTCGTAGCACGAGTTGATGTGAATGTGATTTTTCTCTCTTATTATTCAATAAATCACTCTGCATTGGTGTCTATAACTTTTCTTATTGACTAAAATAATAAATCCAATCGTACTTCACTCTTAATAGACTCTTGGGACTATCAAAATGATTGAAATGTCATAGCTGGCAGGATCTGAACGAGCGTAGGGACAAAGACGGGCATAGATACATTTACCTTAGAGGAAAATTTATCAACAAATATTTTATCCCTAAGTTACAAGATTGCTATCATATCATTATTATTGTTTCATTTAAGGGTTCATTTCTTGTCTGCGATTATTAGACAGTCGAAACGAAAAACTACTATCCCTTATTTCGCATAAAACAAAGATTTTTCGGGAGAAAATACGTATGGGAGTATCGAATAACGAAGGACTAGTGCTAGAAATGACATTTCTTGCGTGTACAGAAATGCAATTTTTTTTAACTACTAAATCTATTCTTCCGACAAAAATTTTTCATTTCGGCGCACTCTCTGCATGTTTGGCACAAAAAAATCCTTTTTTGATAATTTGCAAATAACTTTTTTTCTTGGCACAAGTAAGACTTGTTTGAGAACTTTGTCGTTTTTCTCTGAGTGTACTGATAAACACAACAGAAGTTTTTTATTTCCTTCCAAACTCTCTTCCACTACTCGATTCTAAATGAATCCTCAATCACGAATAGAAAAATCGAATTCTTTTTGCTACAAAATATTGTAATTTGCTTGAACTATGGAAGAATCTAGGGGGAGTTCAACTGAAAAAAAAATCACGAAAAAGGTCCATTGAAATAACGAATTATTTCACGTTCCCATTTTGATACGAAACATTTTTATGAGAATATAATTTTTGCTACGTGTTAGTTGTTTATCGTCTTATCCTAGGGACTAGTCTGCTAATTGTCTATGTAGGTAGAGTAATTGCGTCGAGTGTACCTTGTTTACCTCGTTATAGAAGAAGTGAATAGTATGTGCATTCAATTTGAGGCTCAGGGTTTTGAGAAAACTTATGTAGTAAGCCATAACTTCCTCGTCACTGAAGTCAAATTTGTGCACTATTATACTATTTACGTGGTTGTTGCTTAGCAGGTAATCTGGAACAGAATTTCTGCATTAATAATTACGTAATTGATGCGATTGTGGAATTGATCGGATGATGAGGGATAAAGTGGGATGAGTCTGAGTATTACTCATGCATTGTCTCGTTGTTTTTAACTTCCCGATTTATCTTTTTTTATCTCCTTCCACCTGTTGACTAGACAAGAGTGGGAGAAAATGAACTGTCCTCAAGGTTCAATTAGTCGAGAATTTCAGAGTGCAATTCAAGAAATATCCCGTCATTTTCAAGGTTTTTTGTAAATTTAGAAATCGGAATAAATTAATGTATTCGTATTTTTGCTTTCTTATGAAGCTTTGTAATAACTCAAATTCAAGTTTTGAATTTTTTGCATTATATTAACTCTTTAGGATTGAAAAAATTTCAAAAAGCAATTTATAAACCCTATTCGTAGCTTTTCTTTAATTACTCACTAATGAATCGATGTAATTTAATCGTTTGGTTCCCGAACGTGTCCTGTCACTTTCTGATATCTTTTTATTTATTCCTTCCGCCCCAATCTTTTTAATGAATATTTTTTTCCTTTTAAATGTCTCCCTATTTTCCAATATTTATTGAAAATAGACCAATAGTCAAAATTGACTTAAACACACGTATGAAATAATTCAATAGAAAACCTAGCGAATTCGCTAGAAAATTCTATTAGAATTCTATAGGAACTCTATGGGGTTTTTATAGGATTTCTATTAAAATTCTATTGAGAAATTCTATTTGTTTTTTGCGCTCTTTCTATTGGATATTCCATAAGAAAAAATCCATAGATTTTGACTTTCTGTTTGAATTTTTCTCTTGAGATTTTCTCTATAAGAATGCTTGGGCATCAATTTTGTAATTTTTTTCGACTTGGATTCTGCAATGCAAAACAAAACAGAATTCAACGAAAAAAACTTAGCAAATTTGTGCCCAATAATTGTAATAGAAAAAATCTAAGAGATAAATTCAAACAGAAATTCGAAATCTATTGACTTTTTCTTATTAAAGATCCAATAGAATCAGCGCAAAAAACAAATAGAATTTTTCAATAGAATTCCAATAGAAATCCTACACTGAAAAAAAAAATTTCTAAGAAATAGAAATTCTATGATTAATCCAAATCGTTCATCGATTGAATAGTCGCAAAAGAAAATGCTAGGATAGACACAAATATCGATTTGAACTAAACCAAAATTGGATTGTATGAAATCGATTTTGTTATAGTATAGTATATTTTGTTTATTCTATCGAATTTAGAAAATACATGTTGTTGCGACAAAATCGATTTCATACAATTCAATTTTGGTTTAGTTCAAACGCTTCGGATTTGACGCAAATATTTTTTTTTTCACAATTGCAATGGAAAAATAATCAGCTAAAATGATGAAGAATTGCGTTTGTCGTAAACAAGAAACTGCCACCGCGAAAGTCCCGCATCAATGAGTATCCAACAATATGTTACTCATAGACCAAATGAATAATTTATTGCATCAATGAATTCTGCTTTCAATCGAACAGATATTCTTTTTGCTTTTGGGATATCGTGACGCTGATAAATTGGATAAATACATGCTTTTTTCGAAGAAGATATCTGATAATACAGACATTGATTTGTATGTACTGAAAAATAGATAGTAACAAAAAAAAGTTTAGATAACTGATCTCATTCTTTTTCAATCGAAAATATTACAATTAAATCGATATTTGTGTCTTACAATAGTATTTTCTTTTGCGACTATTCAATCGACGAACGATTTGGATCAATCATAGAATTTCTATTTCTTAGACATTTTTTTCTCAGTGTATAGAAACCCCATAGAATTCCCATAGAATTTCCTACCGAATTCGCTAGGGTTTCTATTGAATTTTTTCATGTGTGCCGTTTTACCGATTCGCTACTGAATTCCCCATTTAGTCACGTGAATTTTACTCTTTTCCTACTTATAACTGCGAACTTACAGAGTGATGTCTCATTCCTAATATTTTCAAACAGAATGTTGAGCGTCTGGAGTAACTGAACACAGACGTAGCTCCCACACTTTTGCTTCATTATCCGAAGAAAAAAGGAGAGCATGTTCTTCTCCAAGAAAAAGCTGAAATGAAAGAAAAGATTGAAAATTAACTCAGCAGTCGATTAAATAACTGGTCGTGTGAAGAATTAGTCGACACAAAAGTGAATTTAATACAGTTAAATATTGTCAATTCAATAAATATTATATTTAAAAACTCATTTGTCGCGAATTGGTGAAGACAATTCAACTCGATAATGAGTATTCAAAGAATATCTCTGAATCTATCTCAGATATTAATAGTTCCAGAGGAAATTTTGTGTGAATCATTGTAAGCAATGGAAATACTTAGATTAAGTTTATAGAACATTACGGATAGTGTAAATAAATCCTGTAGATTTGAGCACTTTAAACAATAAAATAAAAAAATAAAAACTTACTCAAACACACTGCTATCGTTCTGGTCCCCCCAGATAAGAATCTCAGCAATGGACCTCAAAGTCTCCACCAGCAACCCCCTATTATTATCCGACACCGTATGATTCTTCGACAAAACATTGTACAAATACTTGAGATGCTCCAGTGAATGTGGATTCTTGGGTTTCCACAGTCCACCCCCGAACCAGCTGCGGCTCCGAAACATCGTGTCCCCGAGGTACCCCAGTTCCACTCAATCAATCAAAAAACTCATTAACTCCGACAAAAACTCCACCAGAATCTCCCGTCAACTCTGCAGGTCATAATTTCGTGAAATTCTGGTCGTCTTGTGGCCCATGATTATCCTGTCTCGACACACTCGTGCATTGTCACTTCACTATCACTCACTACCCACTTATTTGTGACTCGTAATCCCCAACAGACGTTACATTATCACACTTATCGGGAAGAGCCGAGGGGATTTGGAAATGTAATCGAGATTTTCTTTGTTATGAGTGTCCTCAGCCTGAACATGAGACGTGTGTTTTGTTTGAGGTTCTCTATTCTCTTCCCAATGATTTTCACTGACCCCTTCCCCATTTGTGATACGTATTACGTATCGGGGTATTGCGGGGATCTGTCGTGCCTTCGGAGACTTTGGAGCCGTAGCGTTGCACCCACTTCTCCCAGACACGTGTTTGACACTTTCGTCGATTTGTTTGTTTTTGTTCAGTCCCCTGCGGTTGTTTTCGCTTGGAACCACGACAATGAGGATTCTGGAGCTGTATAGCGGTATTGGGGGCATGCATTATGCTTTGAAAGGTATTTAAATGTCGCTCTTACCACATTTTTCTTTTGTTAGAATTTTTTTTCAGAGCTTATTAAGGGTGCCAAGTGAATTTGAAAAAANCTCGAGAAAGCATGGGATCAAATGGGTACGGCGGGTTGAAATATCTCTCTTATTCACCCCGGTACCCCATTGTTTTTTGTCGCCATCACATTGAACACATCATTCCCCATATCTTCAAATTTTTTCAAATTTTTCTTGAGTTCCTAGGGGGTTGAAACGTTCAATTTAATCAAAACTCCATAAGAGGCCGTGTATAAGACTGATTTTGTTTATTTAATTTCTCGATATCCATAAGTTCTAAAATTTTAAAATTGTCACCGATGTTCACCATCTGTCCAATACTATTAATTAAAAGAATTGAAACTTTGTATGAGATCTATCAACCACTTTTTTGGAAAGTAATCGGACGATAACGGCCACATACCCTTGATCCTATTAATTCTCATAATTTTCTCAAACCCCAAACTCTACCAGCCAATCGGAATTTAACGGGCAAAGACAGAAACATCATTAACGCCGATTCATTTTTTATCACCCAGTCGGAAATAATCGTTTAATAATAATAATGTTTTACCAAGGAAGCCAATAAGACTGAGATTTAACTGATAAACCTGTTTCCAAGTTACGAATATTTAAAAAAAAACATCAGTGTCCATTTTACCCTATCCTCCCTTGACTGAAAATTCGATTCCGACTTGTGCTACTTGTGTAGATCATTGACATAATAAAAAATCTGTTACAGAAAGTGGAGTTCAAGGCACAATCGTCGCAGCAGTAGACATAAACACAGTAGCAAACGAGGTCTATCACCACAATTTCCCTTCCGACAAAATCCTGAACAAGAATATCGAGTCCATTACCTTCGACGAGCTCAATAAACTGAACGTAGAGGGTATCCTCATGAGCCCGCCCTGCCAGCCCTTCACAAGACTCGGACTGCAGAGAGACAAGAGCGACCCCAGGACGTGTTCCCTCTTCCAAGTCCTGAGAATAATAAAACAGCTCGAAACCCTCAAAGTTATTTTACTCGAGAACGTCGTGGGCTTCGAGACATCAGAGACCCGAGACTCACTGATCCAGACAATTGAAGAAAAATTCAACTACAAAGAATTTATCTTGAGTCCTTGCCAATTTGACATTCCGAACAGCAGAAGAAGATACTATTTGATAGCTAAAAGAAAAGATCTCGATTTTTGTTTCGATGATTCTTCCTTAGTTCAATCAATTCCTCGAGAAATCAAGGAAACCCTCTCACCCTCGAAGAAATTGAGTCCTTCAAGGATTGAAGATATTTTGGAAGATGATGGAACTCGTGAGAAACAATACGAGAGATATTTCTTGAGTGAAGAGACTGTGCAAAAACGTCTGAACGTCTTGGACGTGAGGAGTCCTGACTCCACAGGCTCCTGTTGCTTCACGAAAGCTTACTTCAGGTATGCAGAGGGGACGGGGTCTGTTTACTCCCCCCTATCTCAATGTGAAGTTAAAGAGAAGATGAATAAGATTAAAAATAGTGGAGAGCCTGAAGAGCGTTTGGAGTTGATGAGGAGTTTGAAACTGAGGTACTTCACCCCCAAAGAAGTCTCAAGATTAATGTCATTCCCTGAAGACTTCAGCTTTCCCAATTCTATCACTGATAAACAGAAATATAGGCTGCTGGGGAATTCAATAAATGTACACGTCGTTAGCCAGTTGATTCGTGTTTTAATCTCTTGATGAGTAGGACAAATACATGAGGATGAAACATCTGAGCCATGAGTTTCTTAAGTTATAGTTGATGGATGCACCCCTGAAGCGCCATTTAACATTTAAAATACTTGGGTTTATGATCGAACGTATAAGTAGTTTATTTTATGTTAAGGTTTCTTATTATCATCGAGAGGAATATTTGTTGCTCTCAACTATTCTTCGCTCTGAATAAGGAGAAATCAGTAGGTAAATGGCGAAACTATTAGAGTGAATAGTACAACTGATCTTGGATTTTCCAATTATCCTAGCTGTGTCAAAAAACTTTATCAGTCCTTTTGTAGACATCTATTTTTTCCTGACTTTTCTCTGCAAGATTCTCATTTCCCTCAAGAAAATTTAAGAAACAATTCATTCCTGCGGGGAATAACGATTATTTACAACTCAACGTATTCATTGTTTAATCATCTTTGTAATAAATAATTACATGGAAAAAGCCAAGAAGCCTCTTTCTTTGGATTTTTTTTGCCTGGAAAAAAAGCTCTGAAATTTCCTTCGAAAACTGGATAGATGAATTTGATACATTTCAATTGAACAAATTATGAAGTAGGGAAATTCGATGAAAGATATTCGATTCATTTTTCTAGTTTGAAAATTCATGAAAAATCAAGAACTTTCAACAAAATTTTCATGAAAACAAATTAATAAAGTTTTGAACTGATCATTCAATTTTCATTTAAATGCATTTGTTTCACCATTTCACTATTGAAATCATTTACCTCTTATGGGTGCTTGCACCAGTTATTGGTATGGTTTTGTAGTTTCAAAAATGTAATTTTGTTAAGGCTTCTTATATGACTTTCGTATCATTCAAAAGGCCTCAAAAAAAATTTCCAATTTTTTTCAAATTTAATTAAGCCCAGTTGTTGACAAAATTTTGCGTCTCAGTAGAGGTCAATTTTTTTCGGGTTTTCAATAAGTATTCCCGACGGAATATTTCCGTTCTTTCGATTGAGCGTAATGCCAATTAGCTCACATAGTCGGAAATGCTTTAACATCGCCAAAAAAATAGAAAATTGTGCGTGGTATCTCCTTCCCCCCATCTCGATTGAAGATTTTTTTCTTTCCTTACCCACAGTAACTATTTTTATAGAACATATTGAAAAATTAGAATGGGACTCGGATCCGTTCTATTCAAAAAAATTTTTTTTTTTCAAATTTCGTTTGAAAATTTTTTCCCAATTTCTCAGTTTTTAATTTTTTTCATTCCAAAAATCATTATTCATGGTCCATAAATGGTCGCTAAATAATGAATTTGAAATAAAAACATTAAAATCTGAAAAATTGGGAAAAATTTCAAAAAACAAAATTTGAAAAAAAATTTTTTTGGATAGAACGAATCCGTGGCCCTGTCTCATTTTTGAATATGTTTCGTAAAAATAGTCATTTTGGATAAAGAAATAAAAAAATATCCAATCGAGGTGGGGAGGGGGGTACCACGCACCATTTTCTACTTTTTCGGCGATACTAAAGCATTTCCGATAATGTGAGCTAATTGGAACCATGCTCAATCGAAAGAACGGAAAATTTCCATCAAAAATACTAACTGAAAACCCGAAAAAAATTGACCCGTGCTAAAACGCAAAATTTTGTTAAAAACCCACAAAACTAAAAAAATAACGTGGGCGTAATAAAATTTGAGAAAAATTGAAAATAAATTTTTGAGACCTTTAGAATGATGAGAAAGCCCTATAAAAACCTCAACAAAATCCAATTATTGAAAATACAAAACCATATCAATAATTAGCGAAAATACCCTTATGAAAAATGTCTTAATGGAATATGGAAACCCTCTCCCCCAGGATGAACACCATCTAAATTAACAAAGAAGATTGGAAATACATCGACATTATAATCTAGTTCTTCAAATGGTTTCCAATTCAGGTGGAATCGGAATGTTCCGTTCCATCGCGAATTTCTTGAGTGCCATGTACTTGGCGTGCACTGACTCCACCTCCTCCCGCATCCTGTTGTTATCATCCTGCATGCTCTCCATGTCCCTGTACTCCTGCGTCTTTTCAGTCTCCAGCTCGTCCTTCTGCTCGATCCTCTTGATCCTGCAGCTCGCGGCGTACCCTCGATTCTTCAGGGTCCTCCGGCGCTGCTTCATGCGAACAATTTCATCCCGAGACAATCCACGCAATTTCAACTGACGATTCAAGTCTCGGACGGATATAGAGACGAGCTCGTCGTCGCTGATGTCCAGGCATGGGCCTGGCGACAGTGGATCCTGGAACAATTAAATTAATGAAGGTCTTCCTAACGTGTATGGAAAAATTTAATAGAAAAAACCTAGTGCTTTTTCTAAGATATTCTATTGAACTTTAATTTTTTTTAATTATTATTTATAGTGATGGAACTTTTTTGCCGAGTTATTTACACGGTCGTTATAAAAGATACATATTTACAAAACTTATATATGAGGTATTCCACGCCAAATGAGTCAATCGTTGACTTTCATCCCCTTGGAAATTGATGGCGATTTTTTTTAGGATTGGGGGGGGGGGGGG